AGTAACACGGAGCGGCGGTGGTTCGCAGAAGCTCCTCCGGGTTCCTGCACTAAGAGTGTTTGTCCTGTTTGTCCTGTTTGCATCGACTCCTTCCCAGGGTCCGTCCGTCCCATAATAACATGGAGTGTCCCCATCCCTCCATTTGTCGGTCCCTGGCTTGCCATGCGACTAACTCACTGCTGATGATTTATTTGTGATTCTCGGTCGATCTGTCGTGTGTCAATCACTGTTCGTTCAATCACCGGCAGGGGACTATGCGATCATCGTCACCCCGCTAGTATGCCGAGTCTTGATATCCCCGGGGAGTTCCTCAGGCATGCTGTTCTAGATACAGTTGTCCCGCATGCTTCAGATGTAGACTTGGAGGCTGCTCTGACGTCTGCTCTGGAAGAAGGCGCAGAAGACCTGACCTCTGTACTGTCGCATATACCCCAACGCTCCGTTCTTTTCTTCGGTATGTTATGACCTGTCGTCTAACTCGAGCTCTGTCTCTTACTCATCTATAGCGGGCTACAGATGAGTTCTGCACCGTCCGCATTGTTCTCCGACTCTCCAATTGTTCACCTGCTAGCCTGAAGCAATACCTTCCACAACTCGAAGTTGGCCTGGACGCCTTCGCTATCGATCCAGCCGAGACTGTGGCGGAGAACCCGACTTCGACCAGAGACCTGATCTTCTCAGGGGCCGTCAAGGCACAGGAGCCGCTTGTGGTTGTCAATGAGTTCGAGGGTGATACAGGGGAAGGCAACCATGTCTATGTGATTTGGAGCATCGAAGCGTTTCTCAGTAAGTAACTTTCAGAACTTTAACCATTGCTCTGGTTGTGCTAATTGCCATAGAACGCCCGCGCATACGTATCACGCATCCTTCTCTTCTTTTCATCGCCTCCGCCAACCTCAATTTAGCGAAGAATCAACAACAAACACCTCGTGGGGACGACTACCTTCCACCGTTGGTACCAGCATCCGCCAACGTACTACAGCCTCTGTCGTCGGATAAATCCCTCTCTCTCAAAGATCCCTTCCTCCCAGCCTCCCGACTTTTACGTGTTGTACCGGCACAACAGACCGAAGATCCCATCTACCATATTCAACAACGTTCGGGGCATCCGATCCGAGTTGTTCCAGCTGCGAGTGCGAGAATACGATATGCTCGGCTGAACACTTATAGCGGGCGGCCAACCACCGTCGCCAGCCTTGACTTTGAAGTGACACCATTTCTCACATGCGACGTGACCTTTGACAAGGCCGAGCTCCGGTTGTCAGACGGAACCATCGAGACACTTTCAGATGCGCCGGGGCTTGTCCCACCCATCAGATGCCTACCGCGAGATGATATCACCCTGGTATATAAATTAACCCCTGAGGACGGGCAGAATCCAAGTCCGTCAACGACGGTCTTGGTCAGTGTTCTCGACATCTCCTTGGAGGCCGTGATTCACCTATCGCCCAATTGCAACCCACGAATCCTGATGCAGTGGAGGACCAACGTGGACTTTTCTATGCCTCTCAATCCTACCTTTGGTGCTCCCAGCCAGGCACTGCAGCGGAACAACCGTCCGGCTAGCCTTCCTATGAATCAAAATCTCAACAACGCCATGGCAGGCGGAACAGGAGTTAACCGTAGCTCTTTGAGAGATAGAGCATACTCTACGACAGATCTTGGAGTGTCAATCACGTTCACCGGGCCTCCCCGAGTGGAAGTCGGCAAGCCATTTTCGTGGAATGTCTTCATTGTGAATCGGTCCGCAACCGCTCGAAAGTTCGCCATGATAGCCATTCCTCGACGGAAGAGGCCCGATCCCCGGACTCATACGGCGCGTCCATCATCCTCATCCGCATCTATTCGCAAGGAAGCCCAGGTTGCAGAAGCTGTGACGGACGACAACATCGTGCATGCGCTCCAGAAGAGTGTGGCTGGCCAGGAAGCTGAGCTTGTTTCCATGAGTACAGATGTTCGCGCTGGGTAAGTGGTATTCTGTCTGAGTGGATGACTGGATGATTAACGACTAGCCTCACAGACCACTTCTGCCGGGGACTTGCTTTGCGACCGAATTGAAATTGTTGCCATTGGCCGTGGGCGCCCTCCGTCTGGAAGCCGTGCGCCTGGTGGATGTCAATACGAACGAAACGACGGACATCCGCGACCTCCCGGATATTCTCTCCTTTGACAGGAACATGACAGCTTGAATGCCGCCTACGATGTAAACTTGTGTATAGATCTGTTTGCTTGCATGCCTGGACTGATGCGTAACGGCCATGAGAGGATGACCCTGGTGCAGGTTTTGTGCAGTATTTGTATGGAATAAGTTAATAAATTATATTGTAATGCCAGATGATGCACAACCAAGAAAAGAGTACGGTACAGTAGTAACTACATACTACACCGTATAACATTGCCAAGCTAAAGCGGCAACAAGATGGGGGCGTAAACTAGCGTAGGGGGGAGGGGGCGGCAATTCAGCCCTAAAGCGGCAATGAAGGGAGGGGGCCGGTCGGTCTGCCGGGCGGAGAAGGGCGGAAGATCACGCGAGTGGAGGGGGAAGAAGGGAGAGTCAATGATGATGGAGTTGACTGTCTGACTGACTGACTGACTGACTGACTGTAGAATGACCTCGATCTTGCGCATCTTCACTGCCTCAACCTCCAACCTCCAATCCTCAAACACCCCTAAAAAAGTCCTGCTGACTTGGCCTGATTTATTCGCTGGACGAAGAGGCTCATATTATCATCATCATTTTATCTCCTTCACCTTCCGGTCTCCTCTTTCTTACTTCATCGCATCTGTTCCCACTTGACAGACGATCCCAACCTCTTTCCCATCCCCCTTTCTTACTGAGTGCTATTCAGTTGTTGCCTGTGCACCCACCCAAACCCCGAACCCTTTTTTTAAACTTATCTATCCTTTGCGTCATACCTTCGCCCTCTCTGCCAGCCCGGCCTTTCCTTGCCCTCGCCTTCGATTTTCTTCCATCCCGTGAATTCCTCCTCCCCCCATTACATTATTGAAATCTGTCTCCGTCATGTTCTCCGCTGGTCGTCGCAGCATTCTCGATGGACTCAATCGGCGGTACATCTACGGTCGCTTGGTATGTGCTAGATAGACACTCTTGATCTCTTCTCTCTAAACTACCACAACTTCACATATTACTACAAAATTCACCACTACATATCTCTTTTCTTAAATATCTCTTTTTCTTACCACTACACGAAGACTTGAGACTGACGTTGCCCCTCGTCGATTTCTCACCCATAGCCACTGCTTCATACAATAATCTTTCTTATCGAGATGGCGGCGGCAACGCGGCTTGCCGCCAAGTTCAACTCCTACTATTCGGAGAAACCAGGTAGGAGTTCAGCGACCGGCCCTGGAGCGTTCGGCCAGTTGACTGACCCATCTTGTCGCCTATAGTTCTCACTACTATGGTCACCAATGCGGTAAGAGCCCTCAAACAAGCGCAATGCGGAAGATGCATTCGAGACACCCCATACTGACTGTGGATTGGGGACGTTAGATTCTGGGTGGAATCGCAGACACTGTAGCACAACTGATCACGGCTGTCAGAGCTGGCTCCGCGCGCCGCTCTTCCAATGGTGGGGACTTCATCTCGATTGAGATCCACGATCTAGACAAGGAGAAGCCGCCTGCTCTCGGGGAGCTAGGCCATGCGCGACACGCGATCCCAGCGTTTGACTTCGAGCGCCTTACCCGGTTCATGTCATACGGCTTCTTCATGGCCCCGGTTCAATTTCACTGGTTCGGATTCTTGTCTCGCACTTTTCCTCTCACGAAGAAGAACCCGAGCATTCCGGCGTTGAAGCGGGTGGCTTTCGACCAGCTCATGTTCGCCCCTTTCGGTATGAGGAACTAGCGTCATGTTACTGTGTGCGGCCGGATGGATCGCTAACCAGGCGTACAGGTTTGGCGTGCTTCTTCACATTCATGACAGTGGCTGAAGGCGGTGGAAAGCGGGCGTTGACGCGCAAGTTCCAAGACGTGTACTTGCCTACGCTGAAGGCCAACTTTGTTCTCTGGCCTGCCGTCCAGATCCTCAACTTCCGCGTCATTCCCATCCAGTTCCAGATTGTAAGTTCCCATGGTTGGTGCCCGGTGGTGTGTTGCGCCATGCTAACCAAATGCTATATAGCCTTTTGTGTCCTCTGTCGGTATCGCCTGGACTGCTTATCTGTCATTGACCAACTCTTCGGAGGAAGAGTAAAGTAAAAAAAGAACGATCTCTCATCTTTAGGCATATCGGGAATTGTGTGAAGGTGCCATTATTTCATTCCATATTGTTCTATTAGGTTCTGCTTTCGATCTTTTGTATGCTTACTGGGCGTTGTATACCGACGGTTGGGTAGGGGAATTGCTTGTTCTTGTCGCATGGGTGGAGTCTCGGTTATCTTCCATGCCGGCAGTGTTGTTTGATGCGTGTTGAGGGGTTTCTGCCCACTAATAAACGTGTGCTTCAAGTGTTCTAAGAAGCAGATGAAGAGAAATACAGAGTGTTTGTTTTGTTTTCGTTCAGCAGTGCCGAGGGGTTGTGCACGGTGGATGACTTCTCCGGGGTCGGGGGAGGATCACGGAACGGGACGGAGATGATAGTTCCATTAGAGCCGAGATGGCTAAAGCTGCCCATGGGGTGTAGACCCGGTAGAGTACGGAGTATACATCTAGGCTCTGAGTGTCAGTGACTAGGCCAGTCCAATCCCTATATGATCCGAAGCGGGATTGACTGATGTGTCTGGCAGTGACATCAGTCCCGCAACAGCCCGAGCAGCAGGCGAATCTCTCAGCTCAGCTCACCGGCCGCCCCACCAATTCCCAAAACAATTACCCCGCCAGTCTGCCAAACCCGCTGTAACCAGACTCGGTCACCGTGAGATCTCTCCAGTCTCCCTCGGTGCTCATAAAGTAAAAAGCCCATTCCAATTTTCCTTTCTTTCCCTCTTCTTCTTCCTTCCTTCTCCGAACCAATTCCCTCGGATTCATTAGTCACCATGTCTCTCTCCAACAAGCTCGCTATCACTGACGTCGACCTCAAGGACAAGCGTGTCTTGATCCGCGTAGGTTGACCCCTCACTTTCTCTGCAGCAGCAGCTGCAGCAACAACAACAACAACAACAACGACAGCAATTGAGACCCCCATGCTAACCCCTGGACTTACAGGTCGACTTCAACGTCCCCCTTGACGCCAGCAAGAACATCACCAACAACCAGCGTATCGTTGGTGCTCTCCCCACCATCAAGTACGCCGTTGAGAATGGCGCCAAGGCAGTCATCCTCATGTCCCACCTCGGCCGCCCCGACGGCAAGGTCAACCCCAAGTACAGCCTGAAGCCCGTCCAGGCCGAGCTCGAGAAGCTGCTGAGCAAGTCCGTCATTTTCACCGAGGACTGCGTCGGCAAGGAGGTCGAGGAGACCGTCAACAAGGCCAGCGGCGGCCAGATCATTCTCCTGGAGAACCTGCGTTTCCACGCCGAGGAGGAGGGCAGCTCCAAGGACGCCGAGGGCAAGAAGGTCAAGGCCGATAAGGAGGCGGTTGCTGAGTTCCGCAAGGGACTGACTGCCCTGGGTGACATCTACATCAGTACGTTTCCTTAGTCTGTGCGACTAATACATCTAGTACATGAGGCTAATTTATCTCTTCCCTAAACCAGACGACGCTTTCGGCACTGCTCACCGTGCTCACTCCTCCATGGTCGGCGTCGACCTCCCCCAGAAGGCCTCGGGCTTTTTGGTGAAGAAGGAGCTGGACTACTTCGCCCAGGCTCTCGAGAGCCCCAAGCGGCCCTTCCTGGCCATCCTGGGCGGGGCCAAGGTCTCCGACAAGATCCAGCTGATCGACAACCTGCTGCCCAAGGTCAACAGCCTGATCATCACGGGCGCGATGGCGTTCACCTTCAAGAAGACGCTGGAGGGCGTGAAGATCGGCAACAGCCTGTTCGACGAGGCCGGCAGCAAGATCGTCGGCGAGGTCATGGAGAAGGCCAAGAAGCACAACGTCAAGGTCGTCCTGCCAGTCGACTATATTACCGCCGACAAGTTCGCCGAGGACGCCCAGACCGGCAAGGCTACCGACGCCGAGGGCATCCCCGACGGCTTCATGGGCCTGGATGTTGGTGAGAAGTCCGTCGCCCTGTACAAGGAGGTCATCGCCGAGGCCAAGACCATCCTCTGGAACGGGCCCTGCGGTGTCTTCGAGATGAAGCCCTTCGCCAAGGGCACCGAGGATACCCTCAACGCCGTCGTCGACGCCGCCCAGGCCGGCTCCATCGTCATCATCGGCGGCGGTGACACCGCCACCGTCGCCGCCAAGTACGGCGTCGAGGACAAGCTCAGCCACGTCTCCACCGGCGGCGGTGCCTCCCTCGAGCTCCTCGAGGGCAAGGACCTCCCCGGCGTCTCTGCTCTGTCCAGTAAGTAAAACTTTTTACCGATATATCTAATGTCTCATCGGAGGCGTAGGGCACGGACGTCCCGTGTAGGCGTGCGGCGTGGGGGGTAGATGTGGGAGGGAGAGATTTTGTGCATATGCGTGCGTTATGTTGTTCGTCTGTCCCCTTGCGTGTCTGTCTGCATCTCGGGGATTTTTTCGTGCGGTCTTATGCTTCCAACGAATGTAATGTACAAGGATGATGATAATTTCAACTGTTTTTGACTGTACTTCTTTCTGATCCAAGGTTTCTGCTCAGTGACGGGGTCTAAGCTGTGAATACGGTAGGTGGGAGTGCCGGAGCTTGTGTGTAGACTAGAAAGTGTGTAGGTTGGGAAGCTCCTTACCTTATCATCTAGATACTTATGTGTAGTACTCTAGTACTCTTGTAGTGTTTTAGAGACCGCGTCTGCCTTGCCAGAGTACAGCAGACCCTCCACGCTCGCAAGAAACATCCCACTCTGCTCGAGCCAGTAAACCGACACGAGCACCTAACCCCCCTAGGGGCAGACGCCTACACCACCCTCCCATAGCCATTCCCCCTCCCCTATCAACCCAGCAACAAACCACTCTACGACCCACAAACCTTTCCAACGTCCACCCAGGTACACTCCATCCATCCCCCCCCCGGAAGAAAAGGAAAGAGGGGAAGATCTAATTTAAATCTTATTCTTCATAACATCAACATAACAATATACCCCCAATAACCCTCTCTCATCACCATCTTTCTGGAGTCATTATCAACGAGACGCATCCACCTTCTTCAATTCCTCTCTGTAGCCACGAAATACATCCATTAGCCTCACGCCTAGAGTATGCTTGAAACCAAATCATCCAGACTCGACAGGCGAGAGCGTGGTACACGCAAACCGCATCATCACGGCACCCGAGCACTCGTCGGTAGGATACCGGATACAGTCCCTAAAGGGAAGAGCTGGACGGAGCGGGGAGACCTACTTCAACTGCTTCGAAAAGTCCTCGGCGGCGTCGTCGTCGTCCCAGCTTTCCTCCCACAGATGGGCGTCGGTGCCGTTGGCGGCGGTGGCGCCTTGTTCGGTTTCGTCTTGAGGCCAGTCTGTTTTGTTGTCAGGTTGAGTGGGTTTGGGTTTGGGGAGAGGGGGGTGTATGGTGTCGGGGATCGTGATGCGGCGTGGGTGTGGGTGTCATTTGTTCGGAGAGGGTCGAACAGGGGTGTGGTGTACGCACCTTCCACGGGGAAATCCTCAAACTCGTCATCCTCTTCCAGGACGGAGGGCTTCTGTTGTTGTTGGGGTTGTTGGCTGGGTTCGGCCTTGTCTTGGGGTTGGGTGTTGGACATGGTGGGCGGGGAAAGAGGGTGGTTGGTTCGGGGGGGCGTTGTGTCGAGGTGGTTTGGGGGTGTTGGGTGGGTGATTGGTGCGAATGGGAGCTCGGGTGTATGTAGTGAAGAGTCGATCCCGGTTCGAATCGTGGGCTGAAAAATGAGGTGGTGTTGGAGATGATTGATGGGGATGATGGGAATGATGATGAGGGGAAAGCAAGCAAGCAAGCGCGCGCAAGCCGCAGCGCAGCAGCAAGCAAGAGAGCTCACCGCACTCAGCTCCGATGGTCCACCCAACTGGGCTTAGCTTCAAAGTAATGTGCATTAGTAATTTATACATTCATTGTCCACTATGCACAACTCGGATCATTCTGCCTTCATTCCCTCTGACGCAACATCTTGGCCTGTCCAACGGAGTTAAGCAACAACACTCAAGCTTTCAGCCTAAACAAGGCTGCCTTCAAGTTACGAGCAGTTAAATCTCTCCTAGAGCTTACCGGGTGAAGAAATCCTCCCCCGGGTGGGAACAATCATAGAAGCGGAGCTGCATCATCTATTCTTATCGTTTCAAATTATTGGTTTCGAGTCTACCACCAGCGTTAACTCCGCCTCGCCTCGCCGCACCGCCGCCGCCGTCGCCGCAAGTGGACACGGCTTAGATCACTCCCGGACCCTTCATCTGATACTTGTGCTTATAATATCGCTCCCCCAAGTCAAGCTTCTTTCCTCCCTCCCCCAAGGAGTATTTTTTCTACCCTGTCTGCTCTTCCATTTCTCACTCTCGCCCTGTTTTACAAGGTTATGTCCCCGGAAAGCCTCGACGCTGCTGCTTTGATGGGAGATTCGCCGTCTCTCCCTCTCCGTCTGCTTTTTCTTCGTTTGGGCTCCGGGCCCCTCCGGCTCGTGACTGGAATCTGATCCCTCTTTCTCCCTCCCCCTCGAAATTGTCTCGTGCTCGCCTTCCGTTGTTTACTTGTTTATTCTTCTCCGATTCTATCTTGATTTCTCCCCCCTCCCACGATGTTTCGAGTCGGCTCATGGCTGTACGGCAAGAAGCCGGGCGCCAATGCCTCCACCCAGTCTTTGGACTCTTTGTCCGAACTACGGGATCGTGAGTGAATTCTTTTTCCATGTGTCGAGGTTCGGCGCCAAAACCAATTCGTACGAAATGCTGACGTCAAACCTTTGAATAGTTGAGGATGCCATGAGGGGTATGTTCTTTGCATGAACCTCGAATCTCTGATCTAAAACACCCCCGCTCTTTCCGGGGGCTAGCGCTGCAGGTGTATATTGGTTCTAACGAAGTCGGGACACAGCCGCTACATTGATCCTCAATGACGACGTGGACGGTGCTGAGGATGGCCTCTCGGAAGGCACTTCCTCCTTTCACAATGTATGTATGCTATCCTGGACGAGCTTTGTGCCTCGACTGATCGAGGTCGGTATTCCTTTTTGTCCGGTCGTGTAGCTCGGAAGAGGTGTGGTCGCTTTCATCCGTGCCACCTTGGGCTTTGAACAGGAGATCATGCGTCAAGGTAGGTCGCCACGACTAGATCTACTGAATCAGGAACCTTACTGATGGCGAGTTCTTAGCGTCGGAGCGACTCAATGCCGCCGAAACCAGTGCCGCCAATGATCAACATCGAGCGCAGCACAACTCCAATGCGCCCAATTCGTACCACTCCCAGATCTATGCGCCCGGGACAGAATTCGCTCTCTGCCAGGCGATGGCGCAGCTCATGAGTGCCGTTGTCGGGGTTCTGAATGAGAGTCTGACGGAGAGTATCAAAGGGTTCTACCGACTACGCAAGGCCTACATCACGTTGGATGCCATTCTGAAGATGGAGCAGAAGTTCATCATGCAGGAGCGGAGCTCTGGAAATAGCACTCCCACGGAGCGAAACAGCTCTTCGACCAAACTTCCAGGGCCCAGTGTCACGACCAGCACGGCTCCTGCATCGCCTGTGGACGCCGCCGGGCTTGCGAAGCAACTGACCGGTCTGACGGTCACGGGCAGCACTGAGACCTTGACCACCACCTCGGATATGCTGGACCAGGATCCGGAGTCTGACATTTTCAAGAACCAGATCGACGTGTTCATCCACTCGGGCGCTAACTTCTGTTTCGGCATCCTTCTGGTCCTGATCTCCATGGTCCCGCCCGTGTTCAGTAAATTGCTCGGGATCATCGGGTTTCACGGAGACAAGGAGCGCGGGCTCAAGATGTTGTGGCAGGCGAGCAAGTTTCACAATCTGATCGGAGCCCTCTCCGCATTCGCAATTCTCGGCTACTCCAACGGGTTCGTCCGCTACTGCGACATCATGCCCGACCCCGCCTCGCCGGACGACGTGCAAGGCTACCCGCAAGAGCGCCTCGAGGCTCTGTTGGCATTGATGAGGGAACGGTTCCCTAAAAGTCAGCTGTGGCTACTGGAAGAGTCGCGCATGAATGGCGCCAACCGCAAGCTGGACGTTGCCTTGGAGCTTCTGTGCGGAAAGGACCGCAGTCCCCTCAAGCAGGTCGAGGCACTGCGAATATTCGAACGCAGTCTGAATGCGATGTATCTCCACAGATACGAGTTGTGTGCCGAGTCTTTTATCGAGGTAGGTTATCTTCCGAGCAACCTGAAACTATAACCACTGACTGACCTTGTTAGTGCGTGGATCTCAACTCGTGGTCTCGCTCGCTCTACTACTACATTGCGGGCGCCTCGCATCTGAGCCTGTATCGGGGTCTATCAACGACTGATCCCACCGCCGCGGCCGAGCACGCCGAAAAGGCGACCGAGTACTTCCGCGCGGCCCCGCCCCTGGCCGGCAAGAAGAAGTTCATGGCGCGTCAGCTGCCATTCGATGTGTTTGTCTCCCGCAAGATCGCCAAGTGGGAAGCCCGCGCCAAGGAATGGAAGGTCTCCCTGGTCGAGGCGGTGGGCGTTGACCCGATTGAGGAGATGATCTTTTTCTGGAATGGCCACAGCCGCATGACCCAGTCCCAGCTGGAGGAGTCGCTCTCGAAGCTGGCGTGGTCCGAGGGCCCGGACAACAAGGCGACCTGGGCGCGTGAGGGCCCGGAGGAGAAGGCCATCCTGCAGATCCTTCGCGCGGCTGTCTTCCGCGCCATGCGGCGGCACGACGAGGCCAAGGAGCTGATTCAGACGGGGATCTTCACGCAGGACAAGTCACTGTTCACGGGCCATCTGCGCGACAACTGGATCTACCCGGTCGCGCACTTCGAGATGGCCGCCAACCTGTGGATGGAGCGGCCGACGTACCAGGCGCTGCACGGCAAGGCGGTCACCGCCGAGGAGACTGGCGGTGAGAGCGACCCGTTGCAGCTGGAGCGGCGGCAGGTGCGGGAGTGCAAGGAGCACCTCGAGAAGGCGGCCAAGTGGGAGAGCTACGAGCTGGACGCGCGCATCGGCCTGAAGGTCACGGCGGCTATGGAGGCGGTGCAGAAGTGGGAAACGGCTCACAGTGCCAGCGTCTAAGGGGGGTTGGGGCATCTATACATACCGGGGGGGGGGGGAAAGTCGATGACGATTGACGAGATCTAATGACGAGTTGTACAAATATTCGCCGGCGTACATGATACAGAGGAATATATTTACACACTGCGAACTGATCAGGGATAGATAGACGGGGAGTGAATGCGATTTTGACTTCAATGACATGACAGTAAATGATTAGGTCGAGTCCGATCCTTTGTACTGGACCCGAAATCGAGAAAGAACCCTACCTAGATAGTTAAAGACTATACCCATTTAGGCAAGTTTGAAGCCGAAGGTCACGTGGCCATCTTTTGTCCTGGAGATGGGCATATCTACACTAAACATGCTGAGTATACCGAGCAGATTCTCTGGTTGCAAAGAACTAATCGACCATTCCCAATTGCTTCGTTATCGCGAGGATCCACAGTACGTACTGTACACCGCGGTTCAGCGTCATTGACTGCCCAATGGACAAAGTTCAGCGCCGTTTCGGCTGTCCTCCGAGTTAGTTCCACTTCACGCAGTTCTGAAGTGGCGTCTCGGAAACCCGGCACCGGATTTATATCCGAGTCCACCCAGCAATATGTCCGAGGAGCTCGGGCGGATGCTCCGACGGATGGTTCCGATACTGCTGAGGATTGCTCTTTCGTCTTGACCGGGCTGAAACCTCTTGTCTGTATGGGTCTTCGATGTGTGTGATAGGGTTGACATGTGTGAGTCACTGTCCAAGCTGTCTCGAGCACTGCAAGTGCCTAGGATGCGATCGGTGAGCTGAGGCCGTCGGTGACGGTGCTCGGCTTTGCGCGCCGAAGGGTGCAGATACTGGTCGATATTTGAGACTAAACCAGCTATGGTAGCTAACCAGTGCTAGTCGATAGGTTAGGCAGGCCCAACTGCGTCATGTTAGTGCTGGTCCCTCATACCGCTGCTCGGAGGGCAGGGCAGGTAGACCCTGTTCTTGTCGTAGCGCCATGCTCTCTTGCATTCCAGACTTCATATGGACCCTTCTATAGTCACGCCTATCGTCGTGCGTGAAGCAGATACTCAGACAGAGCTGCAGGTTAATCACAGCTGCACACATGTCCAGTACATATACACCACAAAGAGTCGACATATAATGGATCTATCCATCATATATGAACCCTCGGCGACTGAACCAGCAAACGCCGAGATAAGACCCAGGGATCGGAGGTCCGACAACGGCACGGTGGAGAAGTAAGAGTGGGCACCCAAGAGTTTTTCTTGCAAGTGGATGTAAGTATATCCTCCATTCTACTACTGTACTGTATATTAAAAGCGCAGACTGTTCCGTGGGAGTGACGTTGTCTTCCTCCCACTTATCATTTTTCTTGTCACTGGAGATAAATTGACATCCTTCATCTACGTAGTATACAAACCGTGTACTCAGTAGCTTTGCGGGACATGCACTCTTGTTACTTTGCACCCTACATGCCATGAATTCTGTTGTCGAACCTTTATCTATCTATAGTTGAAATCGGTGAATTTGAATTGTGGAATACCAAGAAAAGATCAACATGTCACTTCCGGCCCACGAGGGCGGCGGCAGCAGCAGCAGCAGCAGCAGCAGCAATCCCCATCCGCATCCGCATAACCACCAGCAAAATCAACTGTCCTCGTCGCATTCCGTCATTTCGTCCACGTCTACTTCCACCTCCACCTCCACCACCTCCGATTCCCACCATCACGCCCCTCAATCCCAAACCCAACCTCACAACAACCTGAACGAAAATGCCTACCCCGACGACCCCAACGCCCTCGAGAAACAATCCACCGTCGCCTCGGGCTTCTCCGCCGCCCTGGAGACGCGCACGCACTCGATCGTCTCGCGTATCCGCAGCCGCGAGCCCGGCCAAACCGCCCGCTTCACCCATCCTCTCTCCCACACCAAGACCACCGAGGACGCCATCGTCGACTTCGACGGGCCCGACGACCCCTACCGGCCCATGAACTGGGGTTTCCGGAAGAAGGCGATCACGACGGTGCTGTATGGGTTGACGACGATGGGTATGTTTCCCCGTTTATTTGCAGGGAGGGAATAGAGTTGGGGGGGTGGCGCATGCATGCGGGTGCATCTCGGAGGGTTTTTGGTGGTGTGAGGATGATATGCATATGCTAATCTCTCTTGTTTTTGGTGTACAGGTGCTACGTGGGCGAGTTCGATGTATGTTTTCCCTATGGTTATTTGCAGTGGTGTGGGAGTACAGTTGAGCTAGATGATGATGCTAACAACGCGCGCATCTAGTTACTCCACCGGGACAACGCAAGTCGACTCGGAGTTCCATGTGAGCGAGGAAGTCGGGACGCTGGGGACGACGTTGTTGCTTTTTGGATTCGGTACGCCTAAGCCCTACACGCTCTTCCACTGTCACTTGCCACCATCGCCCAAAATCAAGAACTCAGTCAAACTAACAGACGCACAGGCCTCGGTCCACTGATCTGGGCGCCCATCTCCGAAGTCTACGGCCGCAAGCCCGCCGTGCTGGCGCCCTACTTCATCGCGGCGATCTTCTCCTTCGGCACCGCGACGGCCAAGGACCTGCAGACGGTGATGCTGACGCGCTTCTTCACGGGCTTCTTCGGGTCGGCCCCGGTGACCAACACGGGCGGGGTGCTCAGCGACATCTGGACGGCGGAGCAGCGCGGGGCGGCGATCGTGGGCTACGCGATGGCGGTCGTCGGCGGGCCGGTGCTGGGGCCCATCGTGGGCGGGGCGATCACGCAGAGCTACCTGGGCTGGCGGTGGACGCAGTACATCACGGGCATCATGATGATGTTCTTTTTGTGTCTGGACCTTTTATTTCTGGACGAATCCTACCCGCCGGTCCTCCTGGTGTACAAAGCGCAGCGCCTGCGCTTCAGCACGGGCAACTGGGCGCTGCACGCGCGCCACGAGGAGTGGGACGTGACGCTGCGCGAGCTCGGAAACAAGTACATGATCCGGCCGTTCGCGCTGCTGACCACGCCCATTTGCTTCCTGGTGGCGCTGTACGCCTCCTTCGTCTACGGCATCCTGTACCTGAGCCTGGCGGCCTTCCCCATCGAGTTCCAGCGCATCCGCGGCTGGAACCCCGTCGTCGGCGCCCTGCCCTTCCTGGCGTACCTCATCGGCATCCTCTGCGGCGCCGCCATCAACCTCTTCAACCAGCGCTTCTACGTCCGCCGCTTCAAGGCCAACGGCAACCGGCCCGTCCCCGAAGCCCGGCTGCCGCCCATGATGCTCGGCTCGGTGTTCTTTGCGGGAGGACTGTTCCTGTTCGGCTGGACCGGCACCCTCAAATATCACTGGGTCTGCCCCTGCATCGGCGCCGTGCTCATGGGCTTCGGCTTTTTCACGATCTTCCAGGCCGCCCTCAACTACCTCATTGATACCTTCCAGGCCGCTTCGGCCAGCGCCGTCGCCGCCAACACCTTCATGCGCAGTCTCTTCGCCGGCTGTTTCCCCCTGTTTGCGAACATCATGTTCACCAAGATGGGCGTCCCCTGGGCCGCCAGTGTGCTGGGCTTCGTCGCCGTCGCGCTGATCCCCATCCCCTATCTGTTTTATATCTACGGGAAGCGCATTCGCGCACGCGGGAAGTGGTCGCGCGCTTCGGTTTATGATTGATTCTCTCTGTCTCTCTCTTGCTTTCCTCTTGGTACTCTCACTTTGGAGGGTGTTTTGGGATGGGCCGGGGGTGGGGGCGGGGTGGGTTGTTCGGCAATCGGCTTCTGTTCTGAAAAAGTGATTTGTGATTTGTGATACCTCTGCCCAACCCGGTTGGATTCTTTTTGTTCGTGGTTTGGGGTTATTTGCGTGACGTGGATATATGCATATGACATGATCGGGATTTTAGATACCCCACTTTTTTTTTTCATACAAGATAATGCTAGTCACTAATAGATTTTGCTTCTGACTTGGTTCGAGCTCGGGGTTTTTGCTTCTGGATGAGTAGGCCTCGATGTTGTGTGTCACATTCTGTAAGGTTTTAAGTGACGAGTTCGGAATAACCGATTCACTGTACAAAGTACATGTTCATAGTTGGACTACTGGGGACTGCTACTAGACAGAGGAGAATAGATATACTCAACGATTGGCTAATGTGTACCAAATTTCTAACCACAACATGAGCATTTTTTTGATAGGATCATCCCAACAAAACAAACGAGCAAAGTTCCAAAAGACAGACAGGTAGGCAGCCAGCCAGCCAGCCAGCCAGACAGTTTATGTCCAGGGCTTAGCATCATATCCAAAAATTAAAACTTATATACAAACACCGATCTAACAGTATGAAAATGGTGAAACCAAAAGAATGTTCATCTAATCATATAATGATGATGGGAAGGGGCGGTATCACTTCCGAGTGGAAACGCTTCCCCATTTGGTGAACCGCTTCGCCAATGTGACAGCCTTGCCCAACGAGGTCCAGCTTCCACTCTTGACTAGCGAAGCGGCCTGCTCCTCATCGGAGATCGGGCTGGTAACCGGAGGAAGGGTCTCCTCGGCTGAGTGCGGGTGCGGGTGCGGCTGCTGCTTGTGGTGCTCGGCCATAACGGCCAACTGGCCCAAGAAGGTGTGGTGCTCCAGCAGGTCCTCGAGACGGACCTGGAAGCCTTCCTGTTGCAGGATCCAGACCACCTGCGCCATGTTCATGATATCGCCGCCGAGGTCGAAGAAGGACGAGTCGAGCTGGTAGGCAGCGGCAGCGCTTGTGGTGTGGGAGCCGGCCGCGGTGCGGCGCGGGAGCACCTGCTGCCAGGTGCGGGTGAGGATGTCCGAGTGGATGAGGATTTCCTCCTTGCTACGCGTGTTCAGGCGGGACAGCTGGAAGGTCGTGTCGGAGGAGCGTAGCGTCTCGTGGATGACTTGGCTGGGCAGGGAGCGGACGGTAGACGGGGAGGCGAGCGGCACGCTGGGGTTGGCGATCAGGCTCTGCACCGTCTCGCACACCATCTCGAGGGCCTTTCGCACGAAGCTGGACGGAATGGGCCCCTTGGTCGAGTAGCCGACCGACACGTCGAGCTTCTCGGATCCGCACGACTTGGACGCCAGCGTGAGATCGGTGAAGTTGTCGATGACCCCCACGCCGCCCATCCGGTAGTCGACACCGTCCAGCTGCATTTGGCCCTCGTAGTCGACGTTCTGATGGAACACGGAGGTCGTGAAGTAGGTGCTCTGCGGCCAGTCGGTGCAGTTGCGGATGATCTCCCGGAATCCCAGCGATTCGTACGGCATGTTGGCAATCTGCTGATCCTGGAGGTAGCGGAACAGATCGATGCCCGTCCAGTGCTCTCGGAACTTAACTCTGATCGGCAGCATGTTGAGACAGGGTCCAACGGTGGTCTCGATACCGGGAACGCCGGCGTTGCGACCGTTGACAGTGAGTCCGAAGACAACATCAGATTGGGCAGTCAGCTTGGCTAGGGTAATGGCCCACGCGGATTGCATGACCGTCGCGAGCGTGACATTGCCAGTAGCGGTGGACGGAAGATTGATGGTCTTCTTGTGCTCCGCGAAGGAACCAATGTGCAGGAAAGTGTTGGGCTGCGTACGGCAGACGATCTCGGTCATCTTGGAGCCCTTGAGGATCGTAGACCAGTGGTGGTAGTGGGCTGGGGTGATGTTTCCAGGAAGCATCCGCATGTAGTTGGAGAAGGAGAAGACGGGAGGTAGGGTGCTGCCCTCGTAGCCCAGTTTGATCGCGTTCATGATTTTGGGCAGACAGACACCGTCGAATTGAGCGTGGGACATCCGAATGAGGATGCGGTGGTGGTCGCTCTTCTTCTGCTTGACAATGTAGAACTGCACATATTGCTCCCCTTGGCGAGGGTCCTGCTCGCGATCCCGCTTCTGGAGATCATCCGTGTATTCATCAAGGCTCTTCTCCGTCTCATGGACGATAATCTCTGGGTGGATTTTGCGCAGAACGACCTGGTAGAACTGTCCCCGATGGACAACGAAGACGGTGCGCAGGATGTCGAACGCGTCAACAACGCGCAGGAAGCTCTCTCGAAGTCGTCTGATGTCCAGTGGGCCATTGCCATCCAGGAAGAAGTAATTCAGCATCCACCTGGATCCAAACAGGGTGGCGGCGATTGACAGCGACTGGAAATCGGTGACGGGGAGGACATCGGCAATGCCGCCCTTGAAGACACCAATCTTGGGACAGATGGCATCCTGTAGAGACATCACATCGAGGTCCACGGCACGTGGCATCATCTTCTGCTCAACCTGAGGAATTTCCTGAATCTCAGTCTCGAGCAGCTTCTCGATGCTGTTTTCGCCCTGTGTCTCCGCATTGGAGGTCGGGCTACTGCGAGGTGTGACGATAGCCAGCATGTCTTCGAATACAGGGTTGCTGAAAACATCTGCTACGGTCAACTGCAATCCTTCCTCGCGGGCAGCGCTGACCATCTTCATCGCGGTGATGCTATCTCCACCAAGCTTAAAGAAGCTATCGCGGTAGCCGATGCTATTAGATTTGAGTCCGAGGGTCGATTTCCAGAGGTCCCAGAGACGTCTTTCGGTGTCACTGGAGCTTGACCCATCGTCGGTCAGGGAAGGAATCGAATCCGACAATTCATTTTCACCTGCATCAGGATCGCGGATGGAAGCCTCGACCATCTTCAGGTGAACGGCACCGTTGGAGTATCTTGTCTCGCTTCTTTGCACGAGTGGAACAGAAAGCTTTCCTTCCTTGAGCATATTGCCGATGATCTCGTTCACACGGCTGTCGATGAACTGCTGCAGGGCATAGTTGTCGATCAGTCGGTCTGCAATGAGAGGGCCCTTGGTGAATTGAGAGGCTGGGCGTAGATTATGCAGACCCAAGTCCGCAACGAGCCTAGACGGCTTCTCAATAAAGCATGTGAAGATCTTAGCAATCGCATCGGATAGATCCTTGGCCTGGTTTTCGGTCACGGAGTCGGACCAGTATCTCAACAAGATACCCTCCCGACCCTTAGTCGTCTCAACGTTCACGGTCACGGGATACTGTTGTCATGTTAGCACTGTTCTGTATTGTGTATCGAAGCAACTCACCTCAGTTGGGTCGTAGGCCTTTTGCATCTCGAAGCTGATCGATCTGTTGGCAGCATCCTTGTTGGCAGTACGGTTCTGGATCGAGAGAGTCGTGTTGAAAAGTGATTTTCCGTGCCACCCAAGCTCGTGCTGGATCTGAGCCAGGGAGCAGTGCTGGTAAGGGATGTTCTTCATGAAGTCATCCTGCACCGTCTTTGCAACCTCGAGAAGTGACTTCTCAGGGCTGAACTTGACTCTGCAGCACAGCATGTTGATAAAGATGCCCACTGCGTCCTGAATCCCGGGAACAGGGGAGTCACGACCAGCGGACGGGTAGCCGAAGCAAACGTCATCCGAGCCTGTGCAGCTCTGGAGGACAATTGCCCACGCACAGAGTGTCAGATTCGCAAGAGTGATCGAGTGTCGCTCACAGAATTTCTGCAGCTCCGAGAAGCGTGGGAAATCCATGAAGCGCTCGCCGAGTGTCCGAGTGACGTTAGTGGCACCCGAGAATTGAAGATGGCAGGGCTGGATACCGGAAAGGTACCTCGTCCAGTGATCCAAAGCCTCGGTTTGAGTCTGGCCTCTAATGTACTTGATGTATTCGCTGAAAAGAGGTCCAGAGCCTTCGGTGAGTTGATCATTGTAGGCCAGCGTCAAATCTCTGAGGATCAGGTCCACTGACCCACCGTCGATGATGGCATGGTTCATGTCGATCTTAAAAAGAACGCGGCCGGAAGAGGTGGTGCAGATGCTCACTTGGTGTGTAAGCTTAGTCGAGCTTTTGGCATTGATGTCGCGGAGCTTGATAGCGTCCATGGTTCCCAGTGCCTCTGCATCTTCGCATTCGAACTCAATCACCTCGTCCTCAAGCTTCTTCGTGACCACCTGGTCGAACGAACCGCCCTTGTAGTTGCTGTCGATGAACACGGTCCTGAGAACAGGATGACGGCTAACGACCATGGACCAAGCCTTGCGAAGCTTCTTGGCATCGATTTTATTACCCTTTTTCTGGGGACGCACTTCGAAAATAACGTTGAACAGATATCCTTGTGGGTCCCTCAGCTGGCTGAGCAGGATACCTTCCTGCACCGGAGAACAGGGGTAGACATCTTCAACCTCGTCCCAACTTTCAACACCAGCCTTGGGGAAGGCATTCTTGACCATGTTGCTAAGGCCTTGATAGGTAATCGGCAGCAAGGGGTAATCGCTGAGTGTCGGCTCAGGTGAAGATTCTCCGAGGCGGAGCATGTCCTCCTGAAGAACGCGCTTGCACTCGGAAATCCACCCATGGATGCGTGGCTCGTGCTGCATGTGACGGTTGTAGGTAAACGAGATCTGGAGCTGGTCTTTGATTATGAGTGCCGTAATCTCAAAGAGCGCGAAACGGGACGTTTCAGGACCCATGTCGCCTGCCACCTCGAGTGTCTCAGCATCAAGTGCTTCTCTGTGGTGCTTGAAAAGTGCATCGTCACGTTCAAGTTGCTGCAGCTGACCGAGATAATTGAAGAGCACCTCGAGCGGAACCGGGAAGTCGGACGCATTCTTGTGGAGAAGATTCTCAGCGAAGTAAGGTCGGCTGCTGCTAGAAACTTGACGTCTTGTATCCTTCACATGCTTTAGAGTATTAAGAGTATCTGCAGAATATTAGACATCACCATTGCAAAGGAGTAGGGAAATGAACTGACCTGAGTTTCCATCTATATGCAAAGGACACATAGTTGTGAACCAACCCACAGTTCTGGAAAGGTCAATGGAGGAATCCCAGGATTCACGACCATGGCCTTCGTTGTAAATTGTCGGAATCTCTCTATCAGTGAAAGTGTGGCGGAAAGACTGGATCACAGCAGCGAGAACAACTTCAATGGTCTCGGTGCGGAGGACCGCCTTGCATGCATCGAGAATCTGGGCAGTTGTCGCTGCATCCAGGATGAAGCCTTCCATCTTGACCTGACCATAACAGTTTGCAGACTGGTCCATGCCCCAGTAGCTAAGGTTAGGCGGCTGCACAGTGAATGGCAGCTGGACAGTTCCCATTCTCTTCTTGCTTTCCTCGAGCTGAAGGCTGCACCAAGTCTGAAAAGACAGGGGCTTTTCTCCTGATAGTGAACCAGAGTCAAGGAACTCCTGGATGTCCTGCAAGACAATGCGCCAGGATACCATATCAACACACATGTGACTGGCCGTGAGAAACAGGATTTGCTGGGCTCCATTGACTTCGAACAAATCGGCAGCAAAAATCGGCCCATTCTCGATGTCCAACGAACACTGGCTATCAGCGATAAGGGGGAGGATATCCTTCTCATTGCTTACAGCATGATGGCGGAACCGATAAGAGGCATCGACATCCTGCGAGTAAGCATTAGCTTCTGAGCCTGTGAGATGGCTTTGGTGCAGAAAACAACTCACCTCGATAATCTTTTGCTGCCACTTTCCGTGAAGCTTTGAGAACCGTGCCCGGAACATAGAGTGTTGTTGGATAACAGCTCGAATGGCCTGCTTCATATCTTCCGGCCCGATCTTCCGGGTGACACGCACCGTCATGCTCTGGTTGAAGCGAGCATCGCCTTTGAACTTAAGGGTCGATTGCATGTACAAGTCCTGGATCGGAGACAGTTCGAAATGCTCATCCGACTTCTCCTCGTTCTTGACAGCTTTGATCTTGGTCTCAGAGGTCTGAGCGAGATCCTTGATCGACTTGCTCTGCAGCACGCCGTGGAGGGTTAGGGTAAGCCCCTGCTTGCGTGCACGCGAAATGACAGCCATTCCAGTGATACTATCACCGCCTGTGTGATCTTGTTAGCGCTACTCCGACTCAAATCCGTGAGCGACGTTACTTACCTAGGCTGACAAACGACCGGTTAGAATCGACCTTGTTCTCTGGAATGTTAAGAACCTGCGAGAAAATCTCGCGGAGCAGCTTGGCAGAGGACTCGGTGTCATCTTCCTCTTCAACCTCGTCTTCAATCTCCTCCTCGATCTCCCCTCGCTTGATATTGTCGTAATCCTGCATGATCCGCTCGTACGACGCGTCGTCAAGGCGTTCGAGCCAAGCAGTGATGCGCTTTCGGTCCAGCTTTCCAGAGACAAGCATTGGCAACTGCTTGATAAGAGCCCAGGCTTGGGGAACCATGTAAATAGGCAGCTGGGACTCGAGGTTCTTCTGAATAGTCACAAGTTCGTGGTATGCAGACTGGGTCGAGCGGTTCTTGGAGACAAGCTCGCAAGCATTGTCAGAGATGATGCTCCTTTCAGAAGTCAATGAGTTCAAGGACAGAACCGTCACCAGACGTTGCTTGAGAGGCCCTGTCGATGGCAACAGAACGACGGCGTGGCGGACGCGGGTATCCTCATACAGACGATGCTCAATTTCTCCAAGTTCCATGCGCTGGCCGTGAAGCTTGACTTGATGGTCCTTACGGCCGATGTAGTGCACAGTTCCGTCGGGGTTGTACTTGACCAGGTCTCCAGTCTTGTAGATCCTTCTTGGGGCGGGCAGAGAGCTGGGGAAGCTCTTGATCCAGGCTGGCTCGTTCACAAACGTTTCGGCCGTTTTTGTAGGGTTCTTCAGATATTCTCGAGCAAGCGCCGGGCCTTCCAAGGCCAGTTCACCGACGGCACCCAAAGGTGTCAACCTGTCGTGATTGTCGGGGTCAACAACCCAAGTCAGAGTACAAGGAATACCGTAACCGATGCAAGCAGGCTCGGGAATGGCAGCAACGTCGGTGTTGATGACTGCGAAAATTGTCGTCTCGGTAGGCCCGTAGCCGTTCATCAACTTGACCCGGTGCGCCCACTTGGTTATCACCTCGCGTGACATCTTCTCTCCACCACATACAAGGTGCTTCAATGAGGGCACGGAAGACGGCTCAATAATGCTAGCAATAGACGGAGTCAAGAACGACCACGAAACGTTCATACGTCTGATAGCACCAGCAACATCGTTCAGGCGCTCGTCTTCGCTCGGGATACAGACACAACCTCCATGCATAAGAGTCACGAGCACTTCCATGACAGCAGCATCGAAAGTGAGGGAAGCGAACTGGAAAGCTCTGGTATCTTGGTCCATGTGTACCATGGGTCCGAACGCCATGCCACTGCTTGCAAGTGCCTTATGGTCGATGATGATACCCTTGGCACGGCCGGTACTTCCGGAGGTGAAAATAGCAAAGGCCATGTTTGTGGGAATTGCCCGGCTAGAGGGCTTTGTGCTCGAGGTTGCGAGTGTGCAATATGCTTTGACAGTATCCTTGCTAACTGGAATAATGGTCTTCACAGAGCCCGAGTAACGGCCCTGGTATTTAGGAGAGCAGAGGACCACTCGAGTATCCACCTCGGCCAGAATCTCTCGGTGCCTTGAAGTAGGGTGAGCAGGATCAAGGGGAACAAAAGCGCCGCCAGCGATCAGGATACCGAGAATAGTGACCACAGCCCACACAGACTTATCCATGCAAATTGGCACCAGAGTCTCCGGCCCAACACCGCGCGAGCTCAAATAAGTAGCAAAGGAAGAAGCCAAATGGATGAGTTCTCGGTAAGTTAACTGGCCATCCCAGGAGCAGATAGCTTGAGCCTCAGGACGGAGAGATGCCTCCTCTTCGATGATATGATGAACGCATCGGTCGACGCATGGAGGATTTCTCTGGTTCCAGACAGCGATTTCCTTCTTATCAACAGGGCTAGACACCTCTAGCTCACCAATTTTCCTTGAATCTTCCTTGTTAATGGCGAGCAACTGCTCCAGTAAGAAGCTAAACTGTCCAATAAGCATCTGGGCTTGCCAACTGTCGAAGACAAGCTCGTCGTGGTGAAGAGTGATTGCGATTTGACTTTGTCCCAGTTTACATTCGACGACGATTGGGTGAGTGAAGAAATCGCCTTCGGTCAGGTTGTTCTTTTGTTCCCAGATTTCCTTGTTAAGCTGACCTTCGTCCGACTGGATGACCAGTAGATTTTGGAATTCGCAAGCAGAAGCTGTGTCCTGGTTGAGTTTTCTGATCCGCTGAAGTCCAGTATGTTGGTGTGGGATCATCTCAGCAGCCAATTGACGCACGCTCTGAAGATACTGAACGAGCCCGATGTCACTGTCCACCACAATACGGGTAGGGACAGTCGTCAGGACTGGACCAGCAACGTCCGCGGCACCAGGCATGTTAGTGTTTCTTCCCATTAGCGTTTCGCCGAAGCAAACGTCCCCAGACGCAGTATGAACGGAGACAATCAAAGCCCATGCCGCACGTATTAACTCCGGGACTGTAAGACTGAGGCTGTTGGCTACCTGGGGGATGGTAACAGAGCTGTAGTGCCTGTTTCCGACGCGGATAGCATCCTCCATTGGTGTCTTGTTCTGAGGGAATGGTGTTGAAGACAGGTTTGAAAGGTATTTCTTCCAGAACTCGTCAGATGCACAGGCATCTGTCTGCAGCAAGTGGTTGATGAACAAATTATAGGGCAAGGCACGAGTGGAAGTTGCAGAGTCCGAGTAGATCTCCTCCACCCTTCTGAGGATTTGCGAAACACTCCATCCATCATACAAAGCGTGGTGTACCGTCCAGACAAAGTACCGTTCCGAGGAGTCCTCGGGCTCCACAATTCCGTAGCCAGTAAGCGAGCCTCCGTCATTCGTTGTCAAGTCGAAGCCCTCGTTGGCCAAAGTGTCAAAGTCTTTTGCATGATCCCAGGTGATTGGTGCTTCAGCAAGAACAGCCTGAAGGAAGTTCGCCGCCTCAGTGTGCACAACTCGGGTGCGCAAGATGTCCATTTCATCGACTGTTTGTTGCCAGGCAGCCTTGAAATCATCCAGGTCGACATCTTCGGCAAGCTGGAACACAGGCCGAGCAATGTAAGATCCTTTCTGCTTGATGGAGAGGGTAAGTAGGCCCTCCTGCACCGGGCTACAAGGGTATAGGTCGGTTATCAGCTGCTTGGAAACGCAGCATTGCTCGGAAACTTCGGTCAATACCTCATCCTGCGCGATCGAATCGGGCAGCAGACTGAAAGGCTGGATCTCCTCCACAGAGGAGTCAGAGTCCATGGCCCCACAGACCTTCGCCATATCAACGAAAACAGGTGTCTTGTAGATATCAGCAACCGTGAGTGAGATGCCTCGAGTCGAGGCGGCACCGACGAGTTTCATGGCCGAGAAAGAATCACCACCTAAGCCGAAGAAATTGTCCTCGGAAGTGACAGAGCCTGGCGCAAGACCGAGGACTTCTTCCCAGAGACCTCTAAGAGCTCCCTCGTTTCCTACCATCTCCACCTCGGCACCATTCTTCCTACCGAGGTTGAAAATGGCATAAGGCTTCAACTGCTCCTTAGGAAGACTATCGACCATAGTTCGAAGCTTTCTGCGGTCGATCTTGCCTGTAGATCCGAGAGGCATACGCTGAAGAGGGAAGAACAGTTTGGGCAACATAGCTGGGGGCAAAGATTGAGTCATGGCCTTATGTAGCTGCTTGACGACTCCCATCAGGGAATCATCCATGGAAACAATCAGTTCATGTTCGTCCGTCTGACCGTGACCAGCCACTGTGAAGAAAGCTGCCAAGCACTTTCCGACAATCTTTGACTCCGGCGCAACGACTTCGACAGCCACCTGGGTGGCCTCCGGGAGTTTACGAACGCACACCTGCTCAACTTCTCCCAATTCGATACGCACACCATTGAGCTTCACCTGCGTATCGATACGCGAGATGAATGTAATGGAGCCATCATGGTTGTAACGTACAAGGTCTCCGGTGCAGTACATCCGTTCTTTGCGTGGGAAAAGTGCTTTCAGCCCATCGCGGTTCGACCAGTGTGGGTTGGTTATGAATACCGCCTTTGTCTTCTCCTCATTGTGAAGGTAACCACGTGCGACATTGCAGCCCTCGAGCACCAATTCTCCAACTGCGCCGATGGGAACAAGGCGATTGAAGTCTCGGACATCCACTATCCAGGTCCTGCCCAATATCGCAGTGCCGATGGAGGCCAGGTCGCTGTTGACAAGTCTTCCTTCTCTATCTCTCTTGAAGCCCACTGTATTCATCACCGTAGCTTCAGAGGGTCCGTAGGCATTGATGACGCACCTGTCCGACCAGCGATCAAGGAAATCAGACGGCATCTTCTCTCCACCTGTGATTATTGTAGTCAAATTGGGAACGGCCTTGGGATCAAGAGTGTTGATAATAGAAGGAGTCGTGCTGCTGACGTTGACCTGTAATCTCTTCACAGCTCCAGCCAGATCGTTAATGCGCTCCTCCTCGCTGGGCACACACACGCATCCTCCATTCGCGAGGACAACCATGATCTCAAACACGCTAACATCAAAGGTATAGCTTGAAAACTGCAAGGCACGGGTACTGGAATTTAAACCGATTCCCCTAGCATGACTCGATGCAGCCAGACTCAATCCAACATGCTCTAGCACAGTCACCTTGGGCTTTCCTGTAGTCCCAGATGTGAAGATCGCGTAAGCCGGGTCGTTGATATTGGCAGGTTGAATTTGTGACGATGCAGGCTCGCGTAGTTGTTCAATTGTACTTCTGCTGACGACGAAGGATGATCCACAGGCTTTGAGGGCCTTATTATGATACTTTTCGGAGCATAGAATGATCTCTGTTCCAAGGTCCTCAATCATGCCGCTCAAACGATCGGTGGGGTGGGTAGGATCGAGGGACGCGAAGGCACCGCCAGCTTTCAAGACAGCAAGCTGTGCAATGACGGTCCATGCTGACTTCTCGAAGAACATTCCAACAAACACTTCGGATTTGACTCCCATAGTTGATAAGTGCTCTGCGAGTCGAGTCGACAGGGTATCAAGCTCAGCATATGTGAATTTGCCGTCCCAAGAACAGATAGCAGGAGCCGATGGACTTGCATGTGCTCTTTGCTGAATGATCTCATGCACACATATCTCGGGTCGATCCTCCAGGTTCGCATTCCATTCCCGCAGCTTTTGACAGGATCGTTCACTCAAAAAGTCAATCTCGCCGATCATACGATCCTGTGGAGAGGAGTGAATGACGGAGTTCAAGGCATGGTCAAAGACATCGAGGATACCCTCCATGTCAGCATCCGAGAAATCCTTGGTGGAATACTCAAATGAAACTTCACCGGTTGTCTCCGTATACTTGGCCTCGACAGCAATCACGAACTTGCTCAAATCAGTGTTTGCGGGTGCTCCGGGACATCTAACAACAGTGTTGTATATGGCGTCTTCAAATCCAAGTTCATGCTGGATTTCCTCAAAAGATAGCTGGTGCTGCAGTAATTGCTCGCTGTCAATTCTTCTCTGCTGCATGGCTTGCTCAGGCGTCATATTGTCATCGAGTTTGAGTCTGCAAGCAAGGACGTTGCTCGAAGGATCCGTGTCGAAATATTTGAACGAGTCATCGCTGCCAACTTCTGGTGCATGAATTCCGAAGCATACATCTTCCATTCCGGTATAGCAGCGGAGGGTCAGACCCCAGACCATTTCGACAAGTAGAGACTCTGTAATTCCTCTGTTCCGGCAGAAAGCTTGAAGGTCGCTTGCATTGCTGATAGTCAGTGTCTTGTGAGCTCGCGAGTTCTCAGATGAGTTGGCACACAAAATAGGGAACATGCATGATTCGACATCGGCCAAATATCTCTTCCAGATTGGAATACCACTCTGGAAAGTACGGAAGCCATCATGGGCTCTGGAAAGGTCCGCGATAGTCTCTGTCAGGTGTTCGCCGGAACTCAGAAGTCGCAAGCAAGCAACAAATTGAGCCATCAAGCGTTCGACTTGGGCCGAGTCTAGAGCCGCTTCGTCAAGACGGATAGCTAACTCTACATCTTCATCCTTGAGCGTACACTGCACCAGCAACGGGAAGGAAGTGATTTCATCCTGAGAAAGTATAACAGCCTCTGACCCTGAATGCTCATTTCCTTCTATCACCGAAAGCAAGCTGCCAAAAGTGCGGGCGCGTGCTGTGTCAGCGTTGAGGTTTTGGATGTGGCGAAGCCCTGCCCACTGGTAGCGCTTAGCTGCAGTCAAGCTTCTTTCGGTGTTTTCCAGCAGTTCAGTAACAGTGGAGTTGCTGTCAATCTGGAAACGCCGGGGAACGATGACCGCATGCTGTGCGTTCTCAATCGAATCCTCGGTGCCCATGAGAGACTCTCCAAAGATGATATCATCAGACTCACTGTAACCGTGCATGGTGAGAGCCCAAGCGGAAAGGATAGCGGACCTCGGGCCTTCCTTGACCGATCTGACAGCATTGCACCAGGTAACCTGCACGTTTTGTCTTCCGTACTTGGGAGAATATGCGCTCAATGGGCTCGCACGAGAGGTAACCCGCTGAGGCTGAGATGAATTGGCTAGCTGGGATCTCCAGAAGTCATTAAACCCCTTAATGTCAGAAGCCAGCCGGGAAGCCTCTGGCAAGCGGTTGTAGGCGTCTTTCAGTAGCTGTCGGTTCAATTTACCACTCGATGTCAATGGCATCCTGGGTACCTGGAAATAGAACCTAGGGACTTGGTCTTCCGGTAATTGGTGGGATACTTGAGCATGTAACTTGTTCGCGTGTTCATAGAACTCGGGTGTCATAGACGCAATGATCTGATTCTCAGCCACGTTGGCCTTCGAGCCATTGAACATGAACACGGCCTTGGCCTCTTGAGAATTCTGTTCGCCGCTCTTAGAGATACTTTCGACGGCGTATGGAGTATTGATAGATGTCAGCGTGGACAGGCGCTGCTCAATATGCAGAGTATCGGCCCGACTACCACCATTCTTCTTACCCACATACACAAGGGATCCATCCGAGTTGAAACGAGCAAGGTCTCCGGTCTTGAACAGCAAACGTGCTGGATCTGAGTCTTCAGCAGCCTCGTTGTGATGATCAAGGCTCCATCTCGGGCTATTCATGAAAGATTCCTCCGTCTGCTCCTCGTCATCGAGGTAACCGCGGGCGAGACAAGGGCCCTCTAAGATTAGTTCTCCCACGCATCCCACTGGAACAAGAACGCTAGAGTCATTAGGATCGGCTAGCCAAGGAACGCATCCGACAGAAGATCCAATGATTAGATGGTCATCAGATGCTGCGAAACCAGAGGTTTGGATGGAAGTAGACGAGGACTCAGTTGTTCCGTAGAAGACACGAACTTTGGCTCTCTTAGGCAGAGTTTCGGCAAGCTTCCTTGTCAGACCCTCACCCCACAGAGCAACAACCTCGACACTATTGAAAACCGCTGGCTTCAGCGCTGATGCGGCTGATATCGCCAGGCTGATGGAGTTTGCCTGTAGCTTCTTGAACTCGCGTGCGAGCTGTTCCGAGCTGGTATTGGACGGGATGCAGATACTGCCACCAGCCAAAAACGTACCGAACGTCTCTTGCAGAAACATATCTGAAGTGTAAGATGACGATTGAAACATGCAGTTCTTGTTGTTCAAGCCAAGCTCCGATGCGAAAAACTTTGCCCGGGTCATGATTGCACGGTGGCTGAGAACAACGGCCTTAGATTTCATAGTGGTGAACACCACGTATCCATCTTGCGACGGGACAGCAGGTGACCGTAAGCCCATATCTCTCCGAGGCAGGAACTCAAACAGAGACTCCTCTACAGGAAGGACATATGGGACAGTTCCTTCCAGTAATTGCGCATGGGTTGGAGACACAAGAGCAACTTGTGCTTCATCCATTACCGTCCAGTCTTCAATGGATTGCTGCAAGTCAGCACTCAGCGGAATGCAGACACCCCCAGCTTTTGATATAGCCAAGATTGCTATTATCTGCCAGCCAGATCTGTCGAAATCAATTGGCACGATGTCACCCGGGCTCACACCGAGCTGGATGAGATAGCCCGCAAGAAGCGAGGAAAGCTCGTCAACTTTGTGGTAAGTATAAGTTCCATCCTCAGCGATGACGGCCGGTGAGTCCGGCGTCGATTTTGCGTATGCTTCAATTACTTCATGAATGCAAATGTCCACAGCACTTGGCATATGCTTGTTCCAGGCCTCGATCTGCTGCTTGTTTAAATCACTGAAATTATCGAGCTTGCGGACATTCTCGTTCAAGTGGAATGCAATGTTCTCAAGAGATTTGAGGAATGTGCTGGCGACATGTTCAGCTTGTCCGACGGAGAGATGATCTGTCCAATGATTCAACTCGATGTTGGCATTCTCATCAGTAGCCTCGACATTAATGAACACGGGAGATTCGGCAGGATCGTGGATTATTCCCACCTCGGAAAGGCGGATCTCCCCTCTTGCCCTCAAGTCTGACGTTGGAAGTTTTCTGTAGGAGATGCCACTGTTGATAAGAGAATCTGAGATTCCAAGAGCCTTTTGGATATCAACGAGAGGAAGGTGCCGGTAAGGTAGATTCTCGATGTTGTCGTTCTGAACTCTAGAGAGAACGTCCTTGAGTAAAACATTCTCAGGAAATTGTATGCGACAGGTCAGTGTGTTGATGACGGGTCCAACGACAGATTCAACTCCCTCTACAGGAACATCTCGCAATGATGCCAAATATGTGAAGGAGACATCATCTGAGTTGCAGAAAGCACGAACTGTCAGACCCCATGCAGCGCTGAAAGCGGTGGGTAATGTGAGCCCATTTGCTTCACATGTTTTCCGAAGGTCCTTGAAGAAAGGAAGGCTCAGTCGCTTAGTCCGTAACTCCCGGATAGAAGTGCTACCATCGTTGAGCACGGGGAAGTGACAAGGTTTGATCCCTGTTAGATATGAGCGCCAATAGTCGATGCTGGCTCGCTGCGACGTCTGGTGTAGATACTGCATATAGTTCCTGAATTTCGGCTTTGGGTCTTCGAGTTCGCCTTGATAAGCCAGCTGAAGATCGCGGAGGATGATCGAAATTGAGTTACCATCGATGACAACATGGTTAAACTCAAGCCTGCAGAACAGCTTTCCATTGGCGGTCTCGCAGATCGTAAAGCGGTGGTGCGGATGAGAATGGTCGTAGAGTGGTGCTGGCTGTGCATCAAGAGTGGACAGTACATCCGCTTCGGATCCGCAGAGCAAGTATTGAGGTTTGGCGTCATAGGATTTCAAAACCACCTGACAGAAGAGGTCTTTGCTTGTCAGGTTCTCTAAGAACAAGGTCCGCAGCATTGCATGATGAGCCACAACTCTTTGCCATGCTGTCGTCAGACGATCCACGGTAGGCTTGCCTCTCAGCCCTGTTACCTCGAATGTGCCGTGCACAGCATAGAGGGTAGTATCTCGGGAACGGCTCAGAAGAATTCCTTGCTGCATCGTTGAGCAGGGATAAATGTCTTCCACATTTTCAGCTGAAACTACACCGAGGTTCGGAAGTCTTTTCGTGATTATGGTATCCAAGTCATTGTATGAGAGCTTCAGTAGGGGGAAACTGCTCAATGTTGGCTTGGGATGGGCAGATTGGAGACTTTGACCTATGGACTGCAGCAAAGATCTACAGCACTGGACCCAATCCCTGATGAGTTCTTGGTGCTGCATATGTTTGTTAAAGGAAAATATGAACCGGAGATTGTCCTGGACAACCATGGCAGATATTTCGAAAAGCCCGAAGCGAGGAGTGTCGGCACCGAAGTCAGCTGCACCTCCACCTTGACCTGTTTCTCCCGCCATCTGATTCATAAGCTGAAAGAGGCCATCCTTTCTTTGTAGGTCACGGTGCTGGCCGACATAGTTGAATGACATCTCGAAAGGGCTATAGTGCAGAGAGGTTCCGTCCTCCCGAGTTGTCAAGACGCGCCGAGCAAAATCCTGACGACCATTGTCGGCGGCGCGACGGCGAAGATCTTTGACACGGACAACTGTCTCTGATGGATCAGATGATGGGATGGACGAGAGAAGAATGGGATAGACAGTTGTGAACCACCCAACAGTACGCGAAATATCTATGGTCGGGTCCCACGGCTCTCGTCCGTGACCTTCGTTGTAAATGACAGGCAACGAACGGTCTTTGAATGTTTCTCCAAAGGAATGCAGGAGAGCGGCCAGGAGAACATCAATTGGCTCAGTTGAATAGGTCTGATGGCAGTCCATCAGGACCGCGCGCGTACTTTCGGCATCAAGCTCGAAAGTCTCACAATCGACATCACCGTATGTGGTTTGCTTGTGCTTAAGTCCCCAGTAAGAGTAATTAGGCTCCGGGATCTCAGGCAACTCTTCCATTGTTGTCAATTCTGATGGTTGGCATTGTTCGGCTTGCAGCCGGCACCAAGTCTGAAAGGGGAGCGATCCATTTTGGGAGACGGGTTGATCGGGGTTGAGCAATAGGTCTTCCAGGTCCTCCAAGATGATGCGCCAAGAAACAATATCGACAACCATATGGTGAGCGACCAAGGACAGTAGAGTATTAACACCGTTCTTATGGAAGAGGTCCACAGCAAAAATCGGCCCTACAAAAGCATCCATGGAAGACTGGCTTTCGGCAACAGCCGCATCAATCTTATCCTGGCTGACACCATCATGTGCACGCCAGCGGTACGAGCCAGTCACATCTTCAGTGATCCGCTGCTGAAAACCACCGTCGACATTGCTTCTCTCCAGACGGAAGCGGAGCATAGAGTGACGGGTGATAATTTTCTCGACAGCACATCGCAGGTCATGCTCTGGAATGTGTTTGTTAATGCGAGTGCGGACACTTTGGTTGAAGTGGCCCTGCCCCTCGTCTCGGACAATGAAATGGAGCTTCTGGATCGGGGAAAGATCGAAGGGCTTCTCGACCTCCTCTTCGTACACCACTGACTGGTCAATCCGCTTGACACGTGTTGCTAATTCCCGAATCGATCTGCTGTGAAGAACATCCTGTACATTTAAGCCCATTCCCAGCTTCTTGCAGAATCCCAAGCAAGTGATTGCTGCGATCGAATCGCCGCCAAGGCTTAGAAAGCCCTGGTCCGTTCCGATTCGAGCCCTTGGGATATTAAGAACACGGCTCCAGATCGAAGCTATTTGTTCCTCAGTGGTGCTAGTTGGGAGCATGGTCGCGTCTGCTGTCTCCAAGGTAAGAGTCTGGCGATCTGGGTCCTCCGACATCTCCCCAATCCACTTCTCAGTGGCCTTTCTGTTTATTTTCCCGGATGCGAGCAAGGGCAGGGATTCCACGCAAAGCCACACGCCCGGGATCATGTAGGTCGGCAGGCGGCTCGATAATCTTTCCCTGATCTCGGCAACTATCGGTGCCTTTCTAGTCGGATCAATAAGCTCTAGTGGCGCTTTGTCTGAGCTGTGCTGGCCTTCAAACTGAACGGAAAGAGAGAATACCGCAACGAGTTTGCCTGATGAAAACCCTGACTTTGATAGAAAAGTCAAGCAATGTTTGACATTGGGATCAGTCGCCAACTGATTCTCAATCTCCCCCAACTCTACCCTCTGACCATGAAATTTGACTTGTGTGTCTTTGCGCCCTATATAGTTTAGTGAGCCAGTATCAGAATTGTATCTTACCAGGTCTCCTGTCTTGTAAAATCTGCGGGTGGCGTTGTGGGTGGTGTCCAGTTTAGTCCAAGCAGGATCGAAAATGAAAGCGTCATTCGTTTTCTGCGGGTTGTTCAGGTAGCCACGGGCAAGCGTCGGGCCTTCCAATACCAATTCACCGGGCGAACCGACGGGGACGAGCTGATCATGGTTGTCGGGGGCCACAACCCAGCAACGGACGCCGACGGGAAGGCCAATGTCCCTACAGTCGGTGGTCGCGGTAACATTGGAATTGATGACGGCGGCAACAGCGCTCTCCGTCGGCCCGTAGCCGTTGACAAGACGGATCTTCGACCAAGTGGTCGCCTGAGCCTGAGACATGGCTTCACCGGCCAGGGTAAGAACCTCCAATCCTGGGACAAGCGAAATATCAATAAACTCAACAAACGACGGGGTCAAACAAGCGTTGTTAATCTTCATATCGTTGATCACTTTGACTATATCCCCGAGACGTTCCTCCTCGCTTGGTATACAGATGCAACCACCCACTACCAAGGTAGTGAGCAGCTCGACCAGACTTGCATCGAAAGTGTGTGCTGCAAATTGTAGGTGACGGGAGGTAGAAGAAATGTGAAGTCGTGGAGCGTGGGCTATGGCACTTGAAACAAAGGCTCGATGTTCCAGCACAGTACCCTGTCTACGTCAGAAGGGGCTTGCGTAAATCCTGAGTAAACGCACCTTTGGCTCCCCCGTGGATCCCGAAGTGAAAATCACATAGGCTGCGTTGCGACCTTCCACTTGCGGTAAAGCATCAGCATTTTTGATCGAAGGCAAACCATTGATCGTTTCCTGGTCAAGGGGGATTATAGTCTTCGTGACTTGGCTCAAAGCCTCCGTATGATTTCTAGAGCAAAGCAAGATGTCGGCCTTTACGGCGCCTGCCAGATATTGTAAGCGAGAAAGTGGATGAGTTGGATCCATCGGGACGAAGGCCCCGCCAGCCTTCAAAACACCCAACATTGCCACGACGTTCCATTTCTATCACAGTCATAGCATTAACCTCCAATTGCTCCTCACATGATGGCTCTCGAAAAGACTCGATAGCGTACGGATAATTGGCAACTCACCGACTTATCAAAACACAGGGCGACGCATGTTTCGGGTCGAACCCCCTGTGCGAATAAATTGTATGCAACTTGAGACGATAACAGATCCAGATCTCTATACGTCAAGCTCCCATCCCAAGCACAGACAGCTTCGCTGTCCGGGCGCACCAAGACCTGTTCCTGAAAGACTTCATGGATGCAACGATCGTAAGATTCCGGCATGGCGGAGTTGAACCTGCAGATACGGGCCCAGTCGCGATCTGAGAGACGGCCCACGTCCTTGACGGCAATATCCGTCGCTGACAGTAGATGGGCGAGGATCTCCTCGAAGTAATCGGCGACACATCTCACGTGCTCGGTAGAGATATCATGGTTCCAATACTCGAAGAAGATGCGCACATCATCTTGCAAGATCTTGACATGAAGCCTCACTCGGCACTGGGTGAGATAATTGCTGGGTCAGTCGAATTGAAAAAGCTAGGGAAGGGGGAACGAATGCAACACAGGTTTACCTCTTCTGGCAGGGGATTGGCCAAAACCGGTTGCATGGCAAGGGTTCCAGCGTTTGGTGTCGGCTTGCGGCAGTCGCGTAGCATGAGAATGGTGTTGAACAAAGTGTAGCCGTTATGAACAGGGGAAACGGTTCCGCATTTCTCAGCATCGCCGTCCCCGAAGCCGTGATGCTTATATTCTGCTCTACGCAGAACGCTTTGGAGGGAGTCATCTTCGGCAATGGACAGATTAAGAATTAAGTGATTAAGATCATTAAGATCATTATGTGCAGCAGATGGAAATGAAGACGATGTTGATGGTTGATAGCCAAAACAGGTTTCTTCCAGCCCGGTGTAGTGGTGTAAGAGAATGGCCCAGGAGGCCTCGAGGAGAGGGTCTAGTCGGCCCTGATCCCAAGCGGACAGTAACTGGGTGGTCTGCGCAGCACTGATTCTGGTCCTCAGAGAAGCCGGCCGCTTCGGCCCGGAGTGACCACTGCCAAACTTAGGCAGGCAGCATGGAATCGGTTGCGCCATGGTCGACTCTAAGGAAGGGGAGGGAAAATCTGGGACTACTGGATACTCCAGAGGAACAAAAATGTACCGAGAAGAATTAAAGTCTGCCTGCCTGGAGAGACGACCACGGGGAGAGCAAGTTTGGGAAGATATGGGGTGGAAGATTCAAGGAGCAGAGAGTGCACCACGCCGACGACGACGACGAAAGCTCGACTATATCTAACTTTCAAATTGGAACCGGTGCCGCACCACACCCACATGTTCGGGTTCTTTTCTTTCATCGCCACGGAATTTCGATTGCCTTAGCCCGAAATAGGTCGATGGATGGATCGATGGAGTCAACCACGACCCTATTGCATGGAACGGTTTGAAAGGCTTACGGATTACCAGACATTTCTTTACTAGGGAGGATACGAAACGCCCCCCCCCCCCATCTCAACCAATGGTTTGGAGGCAGTAAAAAAAAGCATTAAAGCATGGCTTGAACCGTGGCCACCCCGCTATACCCTTGCTTAGTCTAGAGCTGAAGGTACAGACAGGGAATTGATTCCATAGCTTCTTTTACCAAGCCTCTGCAGGGCGGTAAGCCCAATTGCCATTGAAGTGGACTCTGTCTGTTGGGTGGAGCCCCTCCAGGGGTGGAGGGAAGAGAGAGAAAAGATCATCTGGCTGCCATGGGCATGGAGGGAGGAAGTGGAGAACGGTTGTGTAGACGAGGGGGCAAAGACATCTCCCCGGGGAGGGATAGCACTAGAAGAATATTGTGCAGTATAAGAGGGCAAAGTGAAGTGGGGAAAAAAATAGAAAAGAAATTAGAAAAAAATAAATGATTTTCAAATCAAATCCTGAAAATCATTTTTATAATCCGGCCCAATTTGAAAAGAGAAGAAGGAGAGGGAGAAGGGGGAGTAGTTGCTGTCAAAATCAAGGCGACCAGCCATGGATGACGTTCATGGCTGAAGCGTTGGCCCTGGACTAAGTTAGCAGTGGCAGCATCATGAACTTCGGGGTCAGTCTCGAACGACGAGTTGAGTCGAAAATCTATACTGTGAGCTCGCGGAGAGCCCGTCCACTTTTCCACTTTTGCTATTTCGGGCCCCAGACAAACAAGACCCACCATGATTGATGGCTCGGAGATCAGGGTGTAGAGGATGGCGAATGGAATCGTGTTTATGTACGTAATGAACTAAATCGTCTTGTGGGCTAGACTGTTTTATCCTCCAAGCACTAACTCCTACTGCTGGTATGTAAGTACATACGGGAACATATGCTTGCAAGTACATATACGAATCTGCGAGCTGACCGGTAGTGATGTTAACAGCCCGGAGAAATTGGGAATCGATTATCAGCGGAGTGGAGGGGGAAGGGACCGGAGAGCGGAGGTTTACCCGACTCGAGTTTCGATTGCCGTCTGTATTTGGCAATAAATGCAATACCCCGTACTACAAGCTACGAGTATGTACATACATACGGGACTCTGTAGAAATAGCCTGCTTCAAGGCTACACGTCGAACGGGATAAGAAGAAGATTTTCGTAAAGAAACTGGTCAAATACGATTGAAGCCGATGACGACCAAGACGACGACTACCACCTACCTATGTTGAAGACTTGTAATTGTTCACCAAGCATCGGATCAAATGTGAAAAGGAAACATTGAGAGAAAAAAAAGATGGGATAAAAATAATGATCAAAATTAATGATCAAAAATAAAAAGGACAAAGAAAAAGAAAAGTAAATCAAGAAAAATAAACATTGAAAATCAATTCCGTGTCCCAGACCAATTTAGAGGGTCCACTGTCACAAAAGTCCGGTTCCTGATCGGGAAGCGGAAGGTTGGGCGGCGTCATTGGCGCACACCCGTGCAAGCTTGCCCTAATGATTCCGCCCCATCCACTCCGACGTCCATGAGTGGCAGCGCAGGTCGACAGGTTCCCTGGCTAGCCATGGTCAGTCCCGAATCCCATGGGTCTTCCAGCTTCAACACCCGTGCACTCTCCACATGAGTTGCAAGAGAAGGAATGTGATAAAACAAAAGTTGGTAGAGGGGCAGCAGCATACGTGGTCCGCCGGAGAATTCTCCTACACATGGCCTCACCGTAAGTTAACTTATCTTGCATCACATCATAGAAGTTCGTCACGTCGAAACTCCCCATCTCCTACTCATAGAGATAGACTTTACGCCAGAAGAGAAAAGAAGCTCATTGGAATGAACACCTTCGCGGGAGTGAGAAAATAGAGTTATTAACAGCGGAGGTGGCCTACCCTTGCTCATTCAAAGTACCAAGGTATCAGCGTCAACTGACTAAGCCAGCCTAGCTTAGTAACTAGTCCCTAGTAGGTAGTTCTCCTGTCAAACAAACCTAAGCCAGCTAAACCGACACTAAGTAGACATTCACCAGTCACTGCACAATAGCAGACATCACTAATTTACTACTGCAGCCTAGTCTCATGTTCCGGAAAAATAAACAAGAAGAGAAAGATAAAAAGGAGACGACACTGGAAAAACTAGATCGGCGAAGTTACACGTGACTACAATACATAAACTAAAGCATAAAAAGTCCGTCAAAGAGTTAAGAATGGAAACAACAACTCATATTATTTATAAAGTCGGTTTTGACTTCTTAAAGCATCATTGGGACGGAATTTCAGCACAGACTCCTTGTGATGAGCCCCTGGCGCGCCCAATAAAGCGAAGGTTAGATCAGAAACCACATTGGGTGCTATAGACTCAGAAGATGCACACCTATTTGGCCGCCCTATACAGCGGCTTACAGAACCACGAATTCGTCATTCTAAACGAAACTTGCAGCGGCCTCATAATGCTCTATCCAGTCTAGCCTATCTAGATTCATTGAGAGTGGCGCTCTAGGAGAACCGGCATTAGCCGTCACGTTCCGAGAATGAGTAGTCGGCTAGGCATTATACAGGCATACTATAGTGTAGGCGCCATATGGCGGACATATCACGGAGTTACTTCGCTTATGCAGCTTAGATGTACTGTATCCCAAAGGGAGGGGCGATTCGAGAAAAGGTGAAACTCGACAACTGAGGTACACATATATCGCATCTCATGTACGTTTTCGGTAGTATGTCTTAGTCTTCCAGCTGACCGCTGTACATAGCCCGGCTTATAATTGGCATTCGTAAAAAGAATTCCGAGAGGGGCGGGGAGAGATTTGGGCACCTGCTTTTCCACGCCAACTCCCATTGGCTTGCGCGGGTACGCCCTCCGACTCGGTCCTTTGTTAGGGCAAGATTCTAACTCTTCTAGACTTCTTATTGTCCACAGGTCACAGGGGGGTGGGCATAAATGAACTAAACTTTTTGGTTATTATGCAAGGACTGCAGGGGAACTGTGAACAGATCCTACAGAATGTATGTATTTTAGTCCTTTGCCACAACGCTACATACGTGCATGTGCTTGGACAATTGGTGGCTAGCAGGGGAGTCTGCATACACTACGGCATATGACATGAGCGCCGTATAGATAGATTCTTGCACCGCGGTCTCCGACGCGGAACATCATGGCAAGAGAGAAAATTTTCTATGAATAGTAGGCTTGTTACCGCTCGGCGGTCGGGGGCGGATGGTGATCTTCAAGCAAACTCGCTGAGAGCGGTCGGGGGAAAAAAACAAAAAAGAAAGCACTGATGATTAATTCAGGTACGGGCGGCTCGGGGGCCGTCGATCTCTACCCACTTGGGCGATATCAACCGATGACGGTAGTGTCTGGTACGTACCATGGTTGACTCAAGCCCAATATCCATATTCCAAAGGTTAAATTCCGGAGGATTACAAGCGACCTGAATCAGGGAAATGATCGATCTTAGCACCATCGTCATCGGAGATCTGACGCTCAAACCTCCTCGAGGGAGAAACACCCCCCATAGAAAAGAGTAAACGGAAGCGACAGGCTGCAAGAAGATGGCCGGTTTCTGCCTTGTGTATGGGTGGACCAGCTTAGCAACAGTCGATATGCTTCTCATGTTAAGTTCGAGACCTCTGTAGTTATAGTCTAGCATAGCGAATCCTTCCTGTGAAATGGAGCATACTAATTAGGCATCTTCAACTCGAAGGTCTGGCGGCGCTACAACTTGCAGGCCCCATCAGACTAACAGACCTTCAGTAGATCGTACTTTCGGGATTCAGGGAGTGACAGGATTTTCGGATGGCTGGAATGATAAGCAGCAGTACTCATAACAAGGTAGACTATGAAGGGAGACTAACTAAGTTCATTATTGTAAACGGACGGGTTAGTCACCCAGCATGGGGGAGCGGGTAACGGCAGTCGGAAGTCTTCCGCCCACACACACTACTACTAAGGTAGGTATAGGCAGGAACCAAGCCACTTCTTCCAATTACCGCACTCTGCAATTGCGATTGTGTGCAATCTGATCTCCACCACCCGCAACTCAAGTAAATTGCAACCGAGCATCGGCAAGCACAATTAATTTATTCTAGCTACATAGGACTAGCCTTAGGTAGTTACCCCTTACACCCTCCGCACCAGCTATAGATCCTTCAATCGTCTGTCTTTCAGGCCTCGAAGCAGCAAGGGAAGGATGGATGATCAGTTGGCCTTTCAGCTCGCTTGGCTAATCCTTGTGCAGTCTAGTCTGTCGCAGTCCTCGATCCCCCAACAAACAAGAGAGCTCTTAGCGGAGAGGATCCCCACAGAACTGTGGCTTCTCAGGCTGCTGAATCCTTAAACTAGTAGTACTAGTCACTAATCTTGGATGGGCTCGATCCTGTGGTGAGCTGTGGTACCTTCCCCTTCCGTGCTACCTTGTTTATTTCGTCTCGCCTCCTCCGCAGCGGAGCATCAACCAAGTATGTACTGGTCGTTGACAGCGGTGGATTGCCAGCCCACCATAGGAGCGATCGTGATGAAACCATCCATGATCCCATCAAGTGTGCTCGTATCGATGCTAGGGTTAGCAGAAATGATTTACCATCGACAGGAGTATTTGCGACTGCGGGTATTTAATCAGTCATTAGAGTATGTACCTACTGTCAGATTACTACTTTATGTACATGAGTACTACATGTGTATGTACCCTACATGAGTACGTATTCGGGACTAAGACGAGCTAGGATCCACTTGATTCTAGGTAGTTACGAGTTGTTGTTGAACAAGTTGGCAGTTGTCTCTGAGTTGGCTGGTCGGGATTCCCGTCGGATCTGACGTAAAGAGCAGATCCCCAAACCTGTCAACTCCAATCAAGCCTAGCCCGCCTCAAGTTGCTTGTCAGCGCAATTTGGAATTGACTTCCCAGAAATGACACTGACAGTTCTCGGTTTCCAAGTCCCCAGTGTCAACTCTAACTCACCATCTATTCACAAGATACAATTCACCCACAGAGAGGGGCGCAAGGTGAGGTTAATTCTCCAAACCACTCCGCAAGTCAACCGGATGAGGCATTGACGGTGACCATCCATGATCGGTGGTGGAGCGGCGTTTTGTGTCACTCGGGATTTGAATCTTAGCACAGCACCCTCCACACCAAAGTCGCCAGTCTCCACGATCATTAGCAATAGTCCAACTATACCTTCACGGAGGATGACTCTGAGCAGGTGCCGGGAGGCGTTGATACAGACATTCTAGTCACAATCTGGCCCGCTCGTGGTTGACTGGCATCCCGAACTAGCATGCACCTACCGGGACGCGATGGCGAAAAGACTCAAGCGGTGCATACATGCAGCATGGTGTGCTAGCCCACAAAGCCTCAAGCAGCAGGGGAGACGTCGGTGGCTCTGGGCCTGTGGGGGAAGGCAGCACATCAGTCGCTGACTGGATCAGTTCGCGCTATTTTATGGAATCGGCTAGTTTGCAGGGTTCTCGTGGCGCTATTTTCCTGTCAATTTTACTACGAGTATTCTTTCTTGATTCCAATTATAGTGTGCGGTTCTAGTGCATGAGTGATTTTACCAAATCTATTTTTTGGTTTCGTTTTCGAAATTATGACCTTTTGCTTTTGCCTGCCCTCGCAGCCTTGGCCACCGCCAGCCCCGATGTTTTGCAGGAACTCGTGTTGGCATGGTTTAGGTCATCTTGACGTTGCAGATGAGGAGGGGAAATTGATGGCCCATGATTCTCAGGAAGGTAGCGCTGAAGGAGCATACGGAAAAAGCAAAAGGAGCTCTTAGCAAGGCCCCGGTGGAACAGGCCAAATCGCCGGTCTTCAAACTGCCCCGCTAGCCTTTCCCATGCATATTTCGGGTGGTGGATCTTCAGCCCAAGGCGCTGTGGCAATCTGCATTCTTATAGCGTTGCATTGTAGCTAATCGCCTTTGACGCCTCCAAAGGTGAAGAACGCGAGGAAGTGGGGTCCAGAATCTCTCTCCTCATGCGAGGTCAGTCTACTAGCTCTTCCCTTGGTAATGACCAATACATACTGTATGTACCACAACTCCCCACGAACATAATGAAAGCAAGACAGAGAGAAGAAACAATCATTCATGGTCTGACAGCGAGGTACGGGAAAATAGTCGCAGTAACATAAAGCCGAGATCTCCACAAGCACTGCTGTGAAGTGTGGAAGAGGATTCCTGCATGCCATTATTCCCACCCAGGCTCTCTCGGTGGCTGTATATGGAATCTCGGGGTCAATCATGGCGGTAGATCCAACGTGCAAACGAGTAGACAACTTGTTACATTTCCCTCCATCCTCATGTCGGGACGGATTCGACTTCTCTCTTCTGTTTGAAGAGCTGATTTTGGGTATTCTGCCTCTGGGAATTTTCATCGTACTGGCATGCGTGCAACTATGGCGTGATGCCCGACGAGTGCGCAAGGTGGTGGCAGGTTCTTGGCCTTTCTGGACCAAACTGGTGCGTGACTTCTTCCTACTACGACTACCCCTACTACGACTACCCCTACTACTACTACCGTACCACTACCGTGGTCCCGTGATGCTGATTGTTGTTGGTCTCCGCAGATACTATGGACCGCCTTGGACGTCACGCAACTGGTCCTTACCGTCCTTTGGGCGCTCCCCTCGGTAGCACGAACACAAGCCTCAGTCGCGGTTAATGCCGTTACCATCGTGGGTATCCTGGTGCTTGGTGCACTTTCATATAGCGAACACAATCGCTCAGTACGACCGTCTTTTGTCCTTAATCTTTATCTTGCGGTCACCCTTCTGTTTGACATCGCAAAGACGAGAACACTATGGCTTCGCGATCCGGACAGAGTCGACAGGTCTGTCGCCATAGTCACCTCGCTTGGTGTTGGCATCAAGTTTCTACTGTTCCTCCTCGAAGCTTTGGAGAAGAGACGCTTTCTCAGGACCGAGTACAAAGGCTACTCACCAGAAGCTCTTGCCAGTATTTACAACAAATCATTCTTTTGGTGGCTTAATCCTTTGTTTAACCGTGGGTTCTCCAAGATCTTGGCTGTGGATGATCTCTTCGTCCTCGATAAGCAATTGGAGGCTAAGCGCCTGCACCGTGAGGTTGAAGCCGAATGGAAGAAAGGTATGTGGCTCCGCATAATTCGATCACGCTTGCGACATGTTGATCTAACTTGAACGAACATAGGTCAGGACAATGGCTCGAGTAGCTTATTATCTGCATGTCTACGAGCATTCAAATGGCACGTTTGCGCGGTGATCCCACCAAGACTTATGCTGGCAGCCCTCAACATTTGTCAGCCTTTGCTGCTTGAGAGATCATTGACCTTCACCGCGCAAGCTTCAGATCCTTCCACGAAGAACATTGGTTACGGGTTGATTGGAGCCTACATCTTGGTTTATACCGGGTTGGCAGTGAGTCAGACAAATATCGTGCTCTGTGACTTTTTCCGCATTGTATCTAATCGCGGTGCTCTTCTTATGGGTCACCATGGGCCAGTACCAACATCTGACTTATCGCTCTATCACAATGGTCCGAGGTGCTGTTGTGTCAATGATCTACAAGAAGGCGTGTTCGTTAAGCACCAAAGACGCCGATCCTGCTGCGTCTGTTACCCTAATGAGTGCCGATATTGAGCGGATCGTTCAAGGCTGGCAGACTATGCACGATATCTGGGGGAATGCCCTGGAGATTGCGTTAGCCATCTATCTCCTTGAAAGACAACTAGGGGTTGCATGCGTGGTTCCTGTTGCTGTTGCCGTTGGTGGGTCTCTAATTACTGCCCCCTTGAAGCCATTCGCTGACACGTCGTGCTTCTCTCTAGTGGCACTTGTTGGCTCGATCATAGCAATGTCCTCCGTTATGTTAAAGCAAGCTTCGTGGTTGCAAGCGATTGAAAGGCGGATATCCTCGACATCTTCGATGCTTGCTTCGATGAAAGGGATAAAAATGCTTGGATTACAATCTGCGCTTTTGACATGCGTCCAGAACCTGCGAATCGACGAATTGACGATCTCTCGGGCTTTTCGGAAGCTCTTGGTCTGGAATATGGCTCTAGGTAAGCCATTGCCTTACAACTCATTGGGATTTTGTTTACTAAACTCACCTGTCTTAGCATGGTCGACTCGAATCTTTGCTCCAATTCTCGCCTTTGGGGCATTTGTCGGAATCGCTCACGATCGAGGGGATGACCGTGCCCTGACAACGTCGGTCGTGTATACTGCTCTGTCTCTATTCTCCCTTCTTTCGGATCCCCTCCTATCGCTTGTGATGGCTCTGATGAACTACGTCGCGTCGGTAGGTTCATTCCAGAGAATCCAAGAATTCCTGGAGAAGGACAGCCACTTAGATCCAAGAAACCGGTCCGCCGCAATCCCCTTGCTGTCGTCAGAGGACAAGAAAATGGTATCTGTAACAACAGATGCCGAAACCCTCACGAGCGGATCGATGTCCTCACAATCTTGGAAAGGAAGTTCCTCGGCGTCGTTTCATAATGCTGTTACTATCCAGGGAGGGGATTTCGGGTGGGATTCTACAAAGAAGCCCATACTGAAGAACCTGAACATCACAATCTCTCAGGGAAACTTTGTCATTCTCATCGGACCGTCCGGTTGCGGGAAATCCACTCTTTTGAAGGCTATTCTCGGTGAGGTGCCCTGTCTGGGTGGTAGCATACAGGTTCTATCTCAGAGCATTGCGTTTTGTGAGCAGACGCCCTGGCATACGAATGGTACCATTGAGGATTGCATAGTGGCAATGTCTGGGTACGATGCCAAATGGTATAGCTCTGTCATATACGCATGTGCTTTGGCGGAGGACTTCAAGCAGCTACCTCGTGGCGATCAAACCGTGATTGGGAGCAAAGGCATAGCCCTGAGCGGTGGCCAAAGTCAGCGGATTGTAAGTGTATCAGCTTCTGTGTTGAATGAGAAAGTCATTGATCTTGTGTTCAGGCGCTTGCAAGGGCTGTCTACGCTCGCAAAGACATCGTTATACTTGACGATGTTTTCAGTAGTCTTGATGCAACAACTGAGCATCATATCTTTCATCATTTACTTGGTATCCATGGTCTTCTACGCTCAATTGGCTCTACAGTCGTGCTTGCATCCTCTTCGGGTATGTCAATGCTGATCAGACATGTTGGCGCGTTTTCGTTAACGATGCAGCAGTGAAGCGTGTTCCTTATGCAGATCACATCATGGTGCTTGACAGTAACGGTTGCGCTACAGAACAGGGGAGCTTAAAGGCTCTTGACTCTGCCGGAGGCTACGTCTCAAGCTTTAGCCTAGGCCTTCCAGATTGGAGCTATAAAGGCGGCTTACTGCCCACACCTAATGCCCAAGTTAGGACAGTTGAGAGGGTTGATGAAGCCGAAAAGGAGACACATGAGAAATGTGGCGACGTGTCCGTCTACTTGTACTATGTCCGTGCTATTGGATGGCTTCCCACGATGGTTTTCCTTGTTGCTATGCTTAGCTTCGTCTTCTGTTTGTCGTTTCCGAGTATGCCTCCCGCAGTATATCACCTTCGTTTACGTCTACTAATCCCAGAACAGGTATCTGGGTGAAATGGTGGGCTAGTTCGAACGAAGCAGAGCCTGGCAAGCATACAGGGTTCTATATAGGGGTTTATGCAATGCTTGGGGTTATTGGCATGATATCCCTCATTGTCGGATGCTGGTCAGACTTCTTTCTGTCGTTTCCTTCCGGTTCTTCTTTGGCTAATTCGCATAGGCAAATGGTGATTACTATGGTACCGAGGTCCGGTGAAGTCTTCCATAAAGCTCTTCTGAGCACAGTTCTGAGGTAAAGTTTATCGTATTATCCTGGCGGCAGTAATGACACTGACCTGAAAGTGCACCCATGTCATTCTTTACCATAACGGATACCGGCGCTATTCTCAATAGATTCAGCCAAGACTTACAGCTCATTGATATGGAGCTTCCAATCGCTGCTATAAACACATTCGTTAGTGAGTTGCTTTCCGCTACACTGGGTTGATTTACGCTCATCGTTTTGCAGCGTTCGCTCTTTGTATAGCTCAAATGATTCTCATGGCGGTCGCTTCCAAATACGTGGCGATCTCCTTCCCTGTGGTAATCACCATTGTCTACTTGATACAGAAGATCTACCTTCGAACGTCACGCCAACTGCGGTACCTTGACCTCGAGGCAAAGGCACCGCTCTTCTCTCATTTCACAGATTGTCTTGGTGGCTTGGTAACCCTTAGATCTTTCGGGTGGCAGCACGAGTTCCAGGATAAGAACAACAAGCTATTGGACTATTCCCAGAGACCATTCTATCTTCTATACGCTATTCAACGCTGGCTTACACTCACCCTGGATATGGTGGTGGCAGGTATCGCCGTTCTATTGATCACCCTTGTTGTCGTCTTGCACGGATCCATCAGCATAGGGTACGTCGGAGTCGCACTTCTGAATGTCATTCAATTCAGCCAGAGCATTAAACTGCTGATCACATTCTGGACCAATCTTGAAACACACATTGGCTCAATCCAGCGAGTAAGGTGGTTCACGCGGAACGTACCTTCCGAGAATCAACCTTCGGAGAGGGATGAGATTCCGCCGGACTGGCCGTCGCTGGGGTGCATTGAATTCACCGGTGTGTCCGCTGAGTACAGGTATGTCATGGTCAACTCGTCGCAATTGATGATTAATTAACGCTTTACCACAGACCATCTGAGCCAGTTCTCAACGATGTTTCTCTGTCTATTCGGGCAGGTGAGAAAGTCGGCATATGCGGAAGAACGGGCAGGTATGTCATCACTGCTCACGGAGAATGTCACCATGTTACTAAGTCCTATCATAGTGGCAAAACCTCTCTCGTCATGTGCTTGTTCCGCATGCTCGACATCAGCTCGGGTGATATTTTGATTGACGGGCTGGACATCACTAAGCTACCACGCCAGGAGATTCGCACTCGCCTGAATGGCGTCTCCCAGAGTCCGTTCTTGATGAAAGGCAGCGTACGAACCAATATGGACCCCACAGGTTCTTTCTCGGATCAGGCTATCAGCAATGCCCTCAAAGGCGTGGGCATTTACTCTCATATCCAAGAGAATGGGAATCTAGACACCGACATCGACGAGGTTTTCCTCTCGCATGGACAACAGCAACTCTTCTGTCTGGCGCGGGCTATACTCCGTCCGGGTAACATCCTCGTGCTGGATGAAGCTACGAGCAGGTACATACATCTATCCTCCTCCTTTGTTTTTTTCTAATGTGTTCGTGTAGTATTGACGCAAGAACCGACCATATCATGCAACGGGTCATCCGTGAGAAGTTCAGCGCCCACACCATTGTGACGGTGGCACATAAGCTCGATACCATCCTCGACTATGACAGGATCATTGTCATGGAGGCGGGTCGAGTCGTGGAGACCGGTGCTCCGCACGAATTACTGGCTTCGGATAATTCGCACTTCAGCAGGCTGTACGCTAGTTTTTCGACGGATGGAGATGCTCAAGAATAGTATCGTGGTGGGATTATGGTCATGAAAACAAAGGCCTTGTCAACTGGTGTTCGGTTCGTGGAAATCATTTCCTTTTTTTCTTTTTGTCTATTTCTTCGCCCTGGGTCGAGTTGACGGGGTTTTCGGGGCTACGGTGTTTTAATTCATCTAGATCCAATAAAATGATCCTTTTTCACATGCCTCATATTACCAAAGAATGACGCTGATTTCAACAATTCGCCCGGGTGGTCTAGTGGTATGATTCTCGCTTAGGGATTACAAACCCCAAGCATATCTGCGAGAGGTCCCGCGTTCGATCCGCGGCTCGGGCCGATTTCCTTTTTTGACCTGCCTGCCTGCCGTGCATATCCAGGCCATCAATGTTTTCCGCCCCCTTACAGCAGCAGAGTACTCATATGACACAAAGAACCCGCGATCGATTAGTCTTTTTTTAACCTGAAAAAATAAATATAACTCGAAAGATTCCCGTACCCCCAAGACACCGAATAGAACCTAAAATCCTCCGTGGACATTCAATCACAGTCAGCGAGCTAGGCTAGTCTAGTGCTTACACCCCTCGGGATTTGCTTCCATCCATCCAGCCTTACTTCCTTGTCTAGTGTATGGTTCAAGCTAGTAGTAGTAGCTCCGTACCCGATCCCGCATAGTCTAACTAGTCTAGGTGTCCTTCCTTTGTTGTCGTCGTGCTTGAACATCATTTCTGATCCCCGCAGCTGGGGCCTGGGATTGGGAATGGTTCTTCCTGGCCGAAAGTACCGAGTAACGTACTTTTGAGTTAGTTCGGGCGCCAGTAGCATTTTGGGTATGTACTGTGCTGGTGCTGAGCGGGTACAGACACAGATACCGCTAGCTAACTTATTCTTCCGTGACTTGGCTCCCTCGAACCCGCTCGCGGGTACGTAGTACTCGAAGGTAGCTCGACCAGCCCTGCAAGGCAACCCCCTCCAAACCAACATGTAGGTCTAAGCTACAGTCCATAGCACCGGGTCACCGACTAACTCAAGTGTATTTATTGTACCGGTACATAGTAGGTACAGGACAATTTCCCACCGCAAGACCCAAGGACTAAAGTAAAACTATTGTTCAATATACAAGGATTAGAAAAGCACACCCCTGCCCTATCTATCCCCTGTCCTTTCCCTTTCACTACTCACACTAAAAACATCTCCCCTACATTGCCAACCGATTCTCCAGGAGAATCATATCCGGAATCACGGATCCAGATCCCAAATCACAAGTCAAGTCACAAATCCAATCCCTAACCAGACTAAGGATCCGTAGTCCGGTGGTCCAACGCAGATCGATCGGCAGCTGCACCCAATCCAGTCCAACCCCCAGTTGCAATCCTCGCAGGGCCAAAACCCAGACAGCAAGCACCATCACATCATCGCACATCACACACCCAACACGGTCCACGGTCCACAACACAGCACAAGAAGACAAAGCGAAGCGATGCGATGCGACGATCGTCAGTACCACACTCCACAAGATTGCGCTTTGCGCATTAAGCGAGAGAGAGGGGATCCCCACTCCCCATCCCCGCTGGAAAAACAGGAATCGGGGTGAAGCACAAGAGGGGTTTGCTCGGCTAATGCAGCCCTGAAAGGAGCAAGCCTGAACAGAGTCTAGATTCTCGCCTAGCCTGTTCACCAGGTTACTCATACTCGGCGCGCTTGAGGATTAGGATCTGCATTCAGGATTTGGTTTTTCTATTTTATTTGATTTTTTGTGTTCCTTGTACTCGTACCTCTGAGAGTATCAGTGTCCAGGGAATCGGGGATCAGGTTCGAGGTTAGATTGGATGCCACACTATATTGCGGGGGCCGATCTGGGGGTGAGAAGGTGTTGCACTGGATTGGAGGATCGGAGTGTGGTTCTTATGCTTGTGGTTAATGGTGTCTGGATTCTGGATTGATTATGGACAGAAAATAAAATAGGCCCTAGTCTGAGTAGGGTAGATTTCATGAAGGATTTGTTGCGGAGCACAGGCGACACTGCAAGAAGCCTGCGAGTAGAGCATGGAAACCTCTTACTGCAGGCCCTCCCTCAATACTTCTGCAACATTGAGTCGCGACATTACGACAAGTAAGCTCAAAAGTATATCTCACTACACTACTCATCAAAAAAATAACCCGAGTCAGCTACTAGTCTAGTTTTACAGAGACCTAAAACTAGTTATACATAGGATATACACAGACGCCCAGAACCCGGATTCTGAAATAACACGAAAAAAAAAAACCAGACCCCAGTCTACATGGGCAACTCTACCCGAGCACCATTGTAGTGTCCTCATCGTGGTTGTGGCCATCCTCAGCACCAACTGGATCAAGAAGCCCAAACTCCCAATCACCTCGTTCGATCCGACTGACCCGGTCTAATTCGGCCTGGTATTCACGACGGAGGTGATCCAGCGTCACTATTACCCGCTTCTGTGGGATGCTCAAGACGGCGCTGCTGATGGAGGCCTTGCTGTCGCGGCGGCTAGAGGGCCGGATTGCCGTCGCGCTAGCGCTGAGACGGCGCCCGGAGGGGGATCCGCCCATCGGGGCGGGGTTGGGTGAGGGAGAGGCGGCGCCGGCGTCATCCATGGGGTGGTTGCCCTCGTGGTCTGGCTGCATATGTTGCTGAAGGCTGCGGCGTCTAGCCTCGAGGGATGACGATAGTGGCTGATGGGGGTCCTCCTTGTTCACGAGGATGTAGGATTCGCTCTTGTCGACGCAAGCAAGAAGGTTAATGAGTGATAGGAGCTCATGCCGGATTTCCTTGCTTTCCGGGTCGTCTTCTTCGATTGGGTGAGCGTCGTCGGCTTCTCTTGCCCTGGTGAGAATGAGATGGGTGGAAACGTCGCGGGCGTGGCGGAGGCGCTGCACGTTCCGGTAGGCAATCTCAGCGGCGCCACGGTAATCGCCCCTTTCGATACGGTACGCTTGGAGGATGCGTTGGTAGTCCGGAGTGCTGTCGCTCCACTTGTTGTCTGACTCGAGGTAGGAGGTGAAGGAGGTTTGCTTTTGAGCAAGTGAAGTCAAAGTTTCGTCCACGTAGGATGCGATGTTAGGAATGAGAGTCGTGGGGAAGTGGAGAATCTGCCGGAGACCCGCGGTGCCGGGCCCTGAGGCCGTCAGAATGCCGGTAATAAGAGAGCCCAGAGCGGACTTCTGTAAAGTTCGATCCTTGTATCTGGACAGAGCAGAGTATGCCTGGTCAAATTGGCAGTTTTGCAATGAGGCATAGAACAAGCGCGAGAGAAGATCCGAGCGCAGGCTAGAGTAATCCACATCATGCTGCTGGCTTCCATGCTCACTTGCAAGTGCCTGCAGCGCGAGGCTCGCAAAGTCGGCAACATGCGAGAACGAGCGTGCATGTTCGAAAATCGTCACGATATGTTGGAAGTACTTGGGAAGGCCGTTGTGGAAGCAGTCCACCGCGACAATGTCCAGCAACGTTGATGACATCTCGTGCAAGTTACCTAGAGGCTTTCCACAAGCTATGTTCTGTTAGATACTGCGATTCCAATATCTGTACTAGGCTGATTCAACTTACAAAGTAGGTAGGCAGCTTTGCGAAAGTACAAAGCCGCAGTGTCGTATTCAGACATGGCCACATATAGTCGACCCTTGACGTAGGTCGCCCAAGATGTGCTTGCTTGGAACCGGAGGAAATCCCAAGCAAGGTCAATATTGTTCTTAGCGATGAGGTCGCATTGTATGTAGACCAAAGCATTGGGGTAGGCAACCTCCCCCTGGCGGGTGACCCATGACAAAATGTCACGGATTCCCAAGGTGATGGTGTAGCTTTGAGGAAGTCCGATGGTTTGACGCGGCTTGATGTCACTGGCAAACAGATCCTCGAGGATGGTGGCCGTTCTTTGTCCCTTATCCTTACGAGCAGAGTCCCTCAGGGCCACAGGAGAAGAGCCACCTGGGGTTTTGGTCGGTCGGTCGGTGCACTTTCGTGAATGCGAGCTTAACCAAGACATCATCTCATACTCCCTTAGCAAAGTAGTGAGAGTTACAAACAGATCCGCCGCATCGAAGTCCGAGCCAGCCTCCTGCTCAACCTCTCCGTCCACAAACAGAACGAGGAAGAGAAGGTCAGACAGGGTCTTCCGCGTCAGTATAATGGTCTCCTGGACACCATTGACAATAACCTTCACTCCAAAATGGGTGTGGAAGAGATCGGAGTTTTTGCCGGGGAAGTCAAGCGGAATAGTATCAATGATGGTGTAGAACACGTCGTTGGGCATCCTCGAGATGTTCAGGTGCTGGCTCATCACGGAGACCAAGGTATCATATGCCTTGTTGGATACCTGCTCTCCAAAATCACACCGCTCACGGAAGGTATCCATCCTGTCTTGCACAGACGTAGAGGGCTCAGTGAAAATCTCGGCGTCAAGGGCCTCCTGGCAAGCAGCTTCCAATTCAGCGGAAAAAGCCTTGCGGAAGCCGGACGCAACAGTGATCAGATGGGACGCCTGCTCGAATAGACTGCCAATCTCTGTCTCCAGTTTGCGGTGCCTCCAGCGATCAACAATGACCGGCCCATCTGAGCGAAGCTCGGCGCCAGAGTTGTGCAGAATGAGCTCCGCGGAGCTACATTCACGAATGATCGCGCAGCCGTCCGAGAGGAGCATCCAGGGAGTCTCATAATAAACGTCATACGCGAGGGCTACCGGTTCGAATCGTCGTTTGTTGACATCGTCCGCAATCTGCCAGAACTGGCGCCATTTGGAGTCCGTGTCCATACGATAGCGAGTATAATCCATCTCATCATCAACGTGCTTTCGAAGGGATACATGGGCGCCAATAGTGGAACAAAGCCGCTCCTCAAGGCTGTGGGTCTTCTTCGGGAAACCGGACGACGACATTGGTTTGAGAGCCTCTTGATAGATCGCCAGAGCAGTTTCGAGAACCTCTGGTAAGAACCTATTTGGCTTCAACAAGTACTCCAGCCATTTCTCCGTCGGGTCGACAACATCTGAAGTAGCCATGACGGGTGGGGGCTCCTGCCAGCGGCTGTCCATGACGGTGGATACCCAGTTGGTGGTCCAATCCTTGGGCAGGGACTCGAAGTTGAAGTGCAGCGTATACAGCTGATAAATACTGCTGTTCCTCCACAAGACCCACAGCTCCATACGCTTACCCTCCTCGGCCGGCTTGATCTGAAAATCGGCAATACTCCAGAACATACTTCCGGTTGAATCTGGGTCGACCGGCTTCAGAGCCACACCAGGGTACAGGTCCTCAATCACCAGCGGCGAAGTCAGGCCGCCCTTCACAGCCCAGAACTTGAAGCGGCCATCTTCGAAGGGCGAATATGTGACGACATAATAGCGGTAGCCTCCATCCAACGCGCGCTCCATATTGAAGACCCGGATGAACGAAGATTCGGCCGGATTCAGCGAATATGATAATTCGTCTGGCTGCTGGATTTCACGGTCCAGCAGATCTTTCGTAGCAGCTAGCTTGTTGGTCGCGAGGTTCCATATCTTCAAGGTATGATTGAGACAGACAGCGAAAACATAGGTCTGGTCAGACGTCGTTGTGATGGCGTTCGCGACATTCGTATCGAGAGTGCGCCCCTTGTATCTTATTGAAGGCTGCGCCTGCCATCTGACCAGGCCGCGGATCGATGCACCCCATGTCCTCTCGTCAAAAGTAAGCGGCGTCCAGTTCGATCCTAAGTACCGGAAGCATTAGTACCGTAACCCAAAATCACACTGTCTGCGATATAAAAGTGAGGAATGAACTGGGGAAGGGTTACCGTCATCACTCGACTTCCTTGTTAACCGCAACAGAGCGCCATTGTCAAGAGAAATGAACAACTCCAGTGGGCTACTCGCGTGTAGTCGATGAGGGTTCGTGAATGTCAACGGCGCCGGAACATAAGACTTGCACCAGTCCGAGATTTTCTCGTCGATCGCTTCTGTCCTCCGGAAGAACTCAGGGCGTAGGGTCAAGGTGTGCAAGTGCTTGTCGGCCGTAAGGACGAACACGCTCAACGCTTCGTGCTCCTCCAAGTCTGCAAGATCGACACCCGAAGGGACGATGCCTTCTTCGAATTCCAAGCGCAAGGTCACATTGTATTCGTGGTGTTCCACCCCACCCTTGGTTAAATCGACACACTGAATTTCCAGCACCTTGCTGTCATCGACAACTCGCCAGAGGAAGGCCCGGGGGTAGACGCTGCGTTTGCGAAAGTAGATCGATCCTTGCGTCGCCAAGTAACGCTTGGTGAAGTCTTCTTCGTCTCTCGCTACCGGTAGCTCTTGACTGCTGAAGGTGGAAATTGCGAAACGAGCTCGGCTTTGGGTGCTCGCTTCTGTTGGAATCTGAATGTTAACGACAGTGCTTGGGGAGTGCGGCCGGAGGTCGACCCGGGTATCCTTGTAGATCTTCGCCATGATGGAATCGAGAACTGAGATATGACCACTCTCCGCGATATTGAAAAGAGGTCAGCTCAAGTCTCCATGGCCGATTGGGGAAGAAGCGGAGAAAGAGTATCGCAACACAGCGGAGTTGAAGGGCAGAAGCCGCAGCTCTTGCGCCGCCTCCAAAAAACAGGTCTTGGCGCGGCCGGGAGCAACGCGCCCAAAAAGTCGCTCCACCGCCTTTGCGGGTTGTCTACCAAATACTAGTCATGCTTATCATGTGCTTTGCGACCAGAGGCATTATACAGTACAAATTATACATAGCATAATCATTAATTCATAGCTTCAGATAGTATATGCAGCCCTCCATCAATCACTCATGCTCCAGATCCTTGGGGCTCGGGTCTCCAATTCCATCCTCATTGATGGCAAAGAGGCAGTCACTCTCCGGCAGGCACGGGCTGTCGTAAATCTTACATACTCGTGTCTCACCTCGTCCCTTCTTCAGACTCAGTCTCGTCGTACTAGCATGTGCGATGATGTTACCACCAATGGGCTTTTTCGGGTCGGGATTGAACATGTTGGGGCCGCCGTCTACCTGGGCGACGACCTGGTTTGTGATCACGACCGCGATTCCGAACTCATCTGCAAGGCGCTGCAGAGTGCGCATAAACTTCGCCAGATGGGTCTGGCGCGTGGACAATTCTCCACGGCCGTTGAAATCTGTCCGATACAAGGAAGTGGCCGAGTCGACGACGAGCAGCGAGAAGCGAGTCTCGCACATCATCTGGGAGGCTTGATTCAGCAGCTGAAGCTGATGGTCCGAGTTGTAGGCTCGAGCATACGCCACGTTATCGAGAACCTCTTCACCGACAAGCCCATATCGTTGCGCAACTGCCAGTAGACGCACGGGACGGAAAGTACCCTCGGTATCGATGTACAGACACTTTCCTTCACCACCGCCCATGTCAAAGGGCAGCTGACAGGTCACCGCAAGGGTATGGCATATTTGACTCTTTCCTGTTCTGAACTCGCCGAAGATCTCCGTGATAGATCCTGTCTCAATGCCACCGCCAAGGAGGGTATCTAGTTGTTTGGATCCCGTTGTGATTGATATGAGCTCGCTTCGTCGCGCATGCATCTCCGTGGCCGTGGTAAATCCCATGGGTACGAGTTTCGCCGCTGCAAGATACATACTGATTAGTTATGTTATCGTAGATGCTCGTCAGACTCACGGCAAAATCACCTTCAACAAGAACCTTGGTAGCCTTCTGTTCGGAGATACCCTTAATCTGCTCCAGCAAGCGCTTCGGACTGGAAAAGCACGAAAACCGATCGTCAGTAAGCTCGGAAGGTACTATGTGGTGACTTGTGTTTCCACGACCAGTTGACTTACGTGTATGCGATCGACTCAACAGTGTGATAGCCCGCGTCAACGAACAGTTTGATATCTCGGCCAGTCAGACCCGCAACTCCCTTTCGTAGGACTAATTAGTACACTTCGTGCAATGTGGAGGGCCGCGGTGGTTCTTCCAAGGATCCCGCGATGCCACCATCTGCTTACCTCTAAGGCTGAGAGAGGAGTTGGGGCCCCAGGACCAGGAAGTCCTTCCTCGTAGTCATTTTGGGTCTCCATGTCTGCTGTCATTTTCTACTAAACTTTCAGTTTGGCGACAGTCAACAGTCTATTCGACTTGTTCGACTTAGACAGCTAGGAAATGCACAAAGCAGGCGAGCTGAACGCGAGACGCGTGTTCCAGATCAGTTGTGCCGTCCTGGGTCAGAATTGACTGAGCCGATGATAAACAGAGCGTAATGAGCTGTAGAATATCTGTCTTTCTAAGCCTGCTGTTCACCTGGCGCTGGCAATTATGAACGAGAGGGTGGCGAATTATCCTTATTGCTCATCCCTCAACAGTGATGGAAAATGGACGCGTTGAGGCAGGCGCGATGTCACGTGCCGATACTGATGCCTATCAGGCATTGCTGCCTGAGGGCCGTGGCCAACCGACTACTTCGGGCCAACATGCGTACACTTACAGATGCGAAAGGCCTAGTGGCTTCCTCGATGCAAATTATGGCAGATTGATGGCTGCCATACTATGATAGGCTCTATCTCTCAATGTCTCACCAGTGCTTCGTCTTAAACCTAGAGCCTTGCGGGTTTTAATGAATCCAAAGCTCCCATAAACTACCCCCAAATACAATGATTCCTGATGGTGATATGTGATAAAAGCATTTGTGAAGACAGACTAGCTTGCTTCAATCTTCCAACGCATCGCAGTGTACCATCTGTCCAGTCACTAATTCCTGGAACTGTCTATGGTCTCGTGGTCGATCGGTCCCTGGTCAATCGGTCTCAACTGGTATGTCTCAGTCGAGCCTGTCTGAATGCTCTCATCGATCAGCTTGCTGATCCTACGTCGAAAGCTCTCGGACGAGGTTCGGTGATGCCCTAAGCAACTATGAGCGCTGTCCTCATTCGGCCATAGCCTACTTTCTTGACGTGGCATACCTTCATGTTTTGACATGCGCTTATAGCTTTCGAGTGGCTTTCTTACCCAGGATTTCCGAGGATTGAACCAACCCCTCGACCGTCTCATTTTTCCTGGGTCAATGGGCGTCTCGGTTTCACTGTTTGCACTTATTGGTGGCTGCGGTGCGCTGTTTGTGGAGAACACACGCATTGCCTCGGCCCCGAGCTCGATGTCTGGAATCTTCATGGAAAGGCGTGGGTTGAGCAGGTTATGGTTTGGCGCCAATTGATATGATCGTGTTGGCCGCTGGACGCCACTTACTGGGACGAGCGATGGCTGACTCTGCACGGGACTGGGAAGTTCCGGAGTATCTCCCGGCATAATGGTGGACTGCCTCGGTGAATAATCCTTGGGGGTCCAAATGCCTTCGACTTGGATGCCCTTTTCTAGCGCCCTGGCACCGAACGGAATCTCAGTTGTCTCGGCCAAAATCCTCTGCATTTCGGTAGCCTGCTCGGTCCTCTCACGTTCCTCGGCAGCAGCGTACTTGTTTGTCACCCTTCTGTTGTACGCGAGAACACAGAATGAATAGATCAGAACGATGGCCTTGTTGCATCAGTCATATGGCTTCTAGTGTATGACTTCGCGTCTTACCAGAAGGCCCGCAAGCACCTATCTCGCTAGTTAGCCGTGGTTGTCGGTTTCTCGACTTCGGGTCGAGGGACTGACGAAACTCAGCTTCTCCCACAGTGCCCATCCGAACCAGAACCGCATTTTAGACTATGCCGGAATATCTCGTGGTCACCCCGGACGTGTATTCGATGTGATGAACGTGGTTGTGGGACTATGTGGGCTATGGAAGGGGTGCAGAACGAAAGTACCGGCAGTATGCCTTACTTTTGAGCTCTCATTTGAGAAAGTATGAAGTCTTGCCACCATGCTTGTTAAGAAAGAGGTGCAGCTGTCGTGGGACGCAGGCAATAACTCTGAACGCAATCGAGGAGGGAAAGTACGAGCGCCGTGTGAGGGTAATGTACGTAAACGGAACGCAACTCTTCAGTCCACGGTGCTTGCCTGCCAATACAGACAAGATTGCACTGGGTGGTGATTTCTGATGGCTGCGGACCAGTAAGTCATAGGTGTTTGGAAAGTGATCTGATGTTCTCGGAGTATATTTTGCAAGACAATAGCTAGTGCGACACAGAGTTCGGAGATATTTTGTCGGTGGATATATACTTTGAGTGATATTTTGCAATATTCAAAAAAAAAAAAATCATATTCAAGCCGAGATTGAGGACAAGTACATAACCAAGGGTAGCGAGACGAAGGAGTATGCGAAGAAATAGCGAAGATGGAGGGGCGCTGGAGTGGTGAAGGTACTGTCGATGTATATAGAGACCGAAAACAAAAAGAACAAAAAAGTAGTGGTCCAGCCAAATTGCCAACTTCCCTGTAACGGGACGGTGTAATCTGGTGACGCCATCCTAGGGTGGAAATGTCTCTGCAGAATTGCTTCCCTCAAGGGTCACTTCCATTGCTTAGCGCCGTGTAGCAATCGTGGACTACTCGCACGAGTACAACGACGACCCCCGGATTCGTACCAGGCACCAGTCCCGCTGGCAATTACCTAAGCAAGGTTATTGACTTAGCGGCCGACCTTCCACTGGACTATCCATGACAGATTAACAAATATTGTATCAACAGTGACTCAACTAGAACGTGAACATCATAAAAACGACTACGTCAATCTACGAGTCCAGCACAATAACAAGCGACGATTGAATACCACACTAGAAATAGTATTACTCGAGTGATAATTGCTCCAACCTACTCCGACAGGAAGACCAACTCCTCACATCCCCGCCACAGACACATATCGATAACAGAAGGAACAGGATTCAGGAACAAACAACACGAGAAATGCCGAACGACAATTCACCAACCGTACGATCCACAGGCTGAGTTTAGGGAAAGATTTTGATGGAGCTTCTGCACTTCTTACTGCCAAACACAGAGGCAAACCGATCGCATCGGCCGGAGCAGCACTGGTAGTCATGAGTGCAGCGGTTTCTGTTCGAAAGGCATGCTCCGCCACGAGGATCCATGCATGTCCCATTGGCACATGTATGCAGACGGGAGCAGTCACTGTCGGTAATGCAGCTCAGAGTGCAACGACTATTGAGGCATGTGTATCCCACTTCGCATTGAGATCTGTTGTAGCAGGTATCGACAGTGGCATCGTTGTCCGCGGACGAGTCTAGCTCGTCGTCGGTGGCATCCACGAAGCCCTCCGCATCTCCTCGAGCCATGATAGGCAGGGAGCGATAGCTCTCATTGTCACAATAAATGCCGGGGCAGGCCACCGTGATGTTTCGAGTCTGAGTTTGAGGGGGGACGGCATTCGCAGCAGCTCCTCCGATGACCATGAGGACGGCGACACCGGAAACGATCGAGGTCGAAAAGCTAGGCATGATGCTCGTCGATTAAAAGGATTGACTGGAAAGAAAACAGATACGTCAGCTCAATCATTACTCTCGCCCACTCTGACACATTACTCATCTGGGAGTCAGACACGTTGAATGATACCTTGATCGAGAAGTATATGTCCGTGTGGGTGTATGGGTAATCAAGAGATGCCTGGGTAGCTGAATGAATGGATATGTGGGAATGAGTGACTGGGTGGGTGGATGTATGAATAGGAGAAGAATGAAGAGGATGAGGATGATTGCACTGTCGAAGAGCATGGCTGAGATTATAAGGCCCTACGACAAGATCAAGATGGGAAGGAGTGGACTGCACACTCAACGGAAGAGCAGGCTCGATATAAAACAGGAAGCAACGCCTTCTCGTACAGCGCCTGCCCAGTTTTTCTCAATACGCGCTGGAAATCAATGCACGACAGGCAATACGTGCTAATACAGCACTTGCCATTACCAGGAGATTCACGGTATGCGGTTGAATGGAACTACGATTGTCTCCCTCGGATCCAAGGCTGCATTGTTTTTTTTGTTGACAAGACCAGCCTGATAAGGACTTGCAAAGTAGCCTCTCTGTCACCATCCTATCGTCATTGCCAGTCATTGTTGACCGAGTCTTCTTATGAATACAGATCGACACCCAAAGACTCCAGCCCATGTGTCGGTCTAGGTGTATCAAGCATGGCAACGTGCATGCATCACGCTTTGGAAGCGTAGAAACCAGGAATGGCTGATAGTTAGTTGTTGCTTTCTCAAGGCCACATTAAGCTTTGACAGGAGCCGTGGTAAAGGCCGGCATCGTCAACAGAGCAAGCACCAATGTGTTCAATGTTTCGATGTATCTGCTTGCACTATTTCCCACCAGATCACAGGAGTTGAGACTGTACTAAGTTCATATATACAATGTGGGCCTTCTGTCCCTCCTACAACTTACTTCTAGCGGGGATGTTGATTGCCGGGCACACATACAAGGGCAGAGGTGAAGCAGTGACTACAAAAGAAAAGGCCCTTCTACTCAATCCATCTATCTGTCCAGCTCTGCGATTGCTCTCTAGACACTATATATAGTGGGTAGTACAGTTGGCAAAAAGAAGAGATGCTCACACTCGGACTCGAACCGAGGATCTCAGCATTACTAGTGCTGCGCTTTACCATCTAAGCCATGCGAGCTGTTTTGTGCTTTGTTTTCAAAGAAAACAAATATGATGTAGTATTAGGCTAAACGTAGCCAAGTCAAACCTTAACTACAAGTTGAACTCGAGTAACATGAAACAACTCCTAGCATAGTTATGTATTCCGGCGCTGGTCATCATTTATGTACTGTACTTATGCAAACATATCGTGTTACAGTCGCATAAGCTGCATAAGTGCTCCTCATCCCGGAAACTTAACTTAGATGAACGGGAAGCCACTTGGTAGTTAACTGACTAGTCCTTCGAATGACGCTATGGGCATGGCCAACTCCAGACTAAACGATGATGATATACGTACAACCAAGTTTTCCACTAATGATAACGATTGAAGTCAGGCACATGGCGCGGTGGCAAACGTAACCACGGTCTATAGTACGAGTAACATTCTCCAGGGGGATCAGAGAGGGGCCCAACCACTGATTCATTAATAGAATTTTCTCATGTTGTTGATCCATTTGCCAGGTGGGATGAACCACCCTTTCATCAAATGAACCGACGCCCGAGGCCGCTGATCATGTGAGGGTTGAGTGTTCTTGCATTAATACAGTACTGTACATCCAACTCTCTCTTTAAGAGGATCTGACCACTGCCGCTTGCGCTGCACGCTCCCTCCAGCCTTATATCTTTCTCGGCTCTCTTCCTTTTTTTTTTCTGGATTGCGCCCACGCAACTGGCTTTGCGCCACGCATCCCTATTGCTTTCCTTAATTACCTCCTCAAAATGGCCCCATTCCGTAACTTCCTGTCTCGAAAGTCCGCCGCACCACCCAATGGCGGGGAGATTATCACCACCCTAGACAATTCCAGCACTACCAGCCGGCTATCAATTGATGGCCAGCGCTCTACACCTCTGAGCTTCAGGAAGAGCTTTGAGAAAGAGCCACCAGAATATAAACTGAGTGGTATGAGATCATTGAACGAGCATGGAGGGTCGGGAGGTTTATCCCCGCTAACCTGATGATTTGCAAACAGTCGTCGATGCCAATGGCGCTTATCTTCCGGTACTTTAGTCTACACTTTCATTGACCATGTCGCGCATTGATTCTACATGACTGCTAAGTTGATTGTCCTCGGTACAGCCATCACCGCCCGAGAAACAGAGCTTCTGGCCCAAATATCCCGGTTCACCCAAATCCTCACATCATCGCGATCTTGTCGATGAAAACGAACCATTCTCGATATCGCGGGAGTCTTTCGACTCATATCGTCGTTCCTTCGTGAGTCTGCACACAACCGGAATTTATTTTCCGCATCCATAGATCTCAGGACTAATCTCCTGTGTGCCAGGACATCTCCGCCCGCTCCCCTGTGTGCTACACCGATGCACTGCCCTCGCGGACATCGCTCGACTCGCGCGTTTCTCGAATGACATCACCGCCATCCACACTACACACCGGCCTCTGCCGACAGCCCGAATCGATGGAAGAGGAGCAATTCGAAGACGTGGGTCTTGACGACGAAACCGAGGTCAAGCCCAAGAGGAAGAGCATTTTCTCTCGGTTCGGCGATCTCACAAGCGACTCGCACTCATCCAGCAACACCAAATCCTCGTCTCTGGGGTTCCACATCCCTGGCCGCAAACGAGGACAGAGCAACGTGGGCTCGGAGATGGGCGCTTTCAAGTCCCCGCCGGCGAGTGCCGGATCCGAAACTAATGATGCATGATACAATCGCAGAATTTCTAAAATCCATATACCATGACTCGGGGCCGCTGGGAGGATTGACTTGCCAGTGACCGAGGTTTGCTTTCTCAATCGCTCCATTTCGTGGGACTCGTCGACGAGTTTTGCTGTCCGTCAGCCCCGCTTGCTTGTTGGGTCGACGAACGAACGCATTGCGTGTTTCTCATGCTGTCGAACTTCACTATTCTGGCATCTTATTGTCCATTTCAATAGATAATCATTCATGTACATAGTTTTAAGATTTCTATTATATGACTGTTTCCGTCAATGCTACGATTCTCCAGGCTATTCAGACCCTCCGTCTCCAACAAAAATTATGTGGACAGGCCGGGAGAGGGAAGGACGATTGCCGCTCCGTCCTTATCCCGCGCAACCCGCCTTATCAGTATCAGCAACCCTGCAAACCAGACAAACAACCGTCGACACCGCTTTCGAACGGGCAAAAAAAAAAGTAAGAAAAAAAAAGTAGGACGGGCGGACCGCGGCGATAATCCAAGCAGGAAAACCTAGACTCCGCGGGCGGCCCATATCACCTCTCATTTTTTTTTATCCCGCCCAACCTAGTCTATTTCTAAGATTTTTTAAACGAAACCTCAAATCCTACACATCATGGTTGGGGTAAAGCGCCGCGTCGATACCGGCGACGATCGCGATGGCAAGCGGACGAAGACCAAGACTGCCGTGTCCGCGCCGACGAAGAAGGGCGGCTCCAAGTCGGCCCCCATGAAGTCGGCGAAGAAGTCCGACTTCAAGAAGGGTGGCGACAAGGGTGGAAAGAAAGATAAGAAAGACTTGAGCAGCAAGAAGGGCAAGAAGATCCAGAAGGAAGAATCCGAATCCGAAGACGATGACGACGACGAGTTCGATTTGGATGATGTTGAGGACTCAGAGATTGATGAATTGGATGAGCTTGAGGCTGAGGAGGACGAGGATGTTGATATGGGTGGTGTTGAGGAAGATGATGAAGAGGACGACGAGAAGGAGAAGCCCGCGAAGGCGGCGGATCCAAGTAGGTGGATTCCCTGGTGGTGGTGGTTACTGCTTTGAAGCTACTGGGAACTAATCAGATCTCGCTTTCGATTGTGCAGACAAGTCCACATCGCGCGAATCGCATATCAAGCAGAAGGCGATGCAGCAAGAGCGCAAAGCCGCCAAGCCTAACGCCGATATCATCGCCCGGTCTAAGAAGCTTTGGGAGCAGCTGCGTCGGAAATCCCACGTCCCCCTCGAGCAGCGGAAGAAGCTTATTAAGGAGCTGTTTGAGATCATCACTGGCCGCGTCAAGGACTTTGTGTTCAAGCACGACTCGGTTCGTGTCATTCAGACCGCTCTCAAATATGCCAATCTCGAGCAACGGAAACAGATCGCAACAGAGCTCAAGGGCAGCTACCGTGAGCTTGCTCAGAGCCGGTATGCCAAGTTCTTGGTTGGCAAGCTGATTGTTCACGGTGACAACGAGATTCGCGACTTGATTATTCCCGAATTCTACGGTCACGTTAAGCGTCTCATCCGACACCCCGAGGGATCCTGGATTCTGGACGATATTTACCGGACGGTCGCGACGAAGCAGCAGAGGGCCAACCTTTTGCGTGAGTGGTACGGACCCGAGTTCGTTATCTTTAAGCAGGAGGATGGAACTGCGGAGCTCTCTGAGATCCTGAGCAAAAACCCGGAGAAGAGAGGACCTATCATGCACTTTTTGTTCGAGCTCATCAACCAGCTGATCCAGAAGAAGACCTCGGGTTTCACTATTCTACACGATGCTATGCTTCAGTACTATCTCAACGTGAAAGTCGGCAGCGAGGAGGCCAACGAGTTTGTTGAACTACTGAAGGGCGATGAAGAGGGCGATCTTGTGAAGAACTTGGCTTTCACCAAGTCAGGCTCACGAGTCATGTCTCGGGCTCTCGCCTACTCGAACGCCAAGGACCGCAAACTTCTGACCCGTTTCTATCGCGACACGATCAAGATGATGGCAGGTGACCTTCATGGACACAATGTCATCCTGGCAGCCTACGAAGTCATCGATGATACCAAGCTTACCTCGAAACTCGTTTTCCCCGAGCTTCTGAACCAGGGAATGGACGCTGAAGCCCGCAACGAAGAGCTGCTCTGGCAAGTGACTGACCTGACGGCTCGTATCCCCATCTTGTATCCATTCGCTGGCGACCGTGCCAAGTGGCTTCTGCCCGAGCAGGATAGTGAGTTGCTGAAGGAAATCCGCGAGATCCGCGCAGAAACGTCGAAGAAGGAGCCTGAGGTCCGCAGACAGGAGCTGGTCAAGGCCGCTTCCCCCACTGTGCTCGAGCTGATCGCAGCTCGTGCGGATTCCCTGTTGGAGACCAGCTTCGGCTGTCAGTTCATTTCTGAGGTCCTCTTCGACGCTGATGGCGACAAGAGCGCCGCTCTTGCTGCTGTCGCCGAGGCGGCCAAGTCCCGCGCCGACACCAAGGAGGCCCCGTTCGTGGGCCGGTTGTTGAAGTCGCTTGTCCAGGGTGGACGGTTCAACAGTGCGGAAAAGAAGATCGAGAAGGTCCAGCCAGCACTGAGCTTCCACGATCTGCTGTACGAGCAGATTCAGCCCGAGATCATGTCATGGGCTACCGGTTCGAATACCTTCGTTGTTGTGGCTCTTGCGGAGTCGGACGATTTCGCGAAGAAGGCCGACCTGCTGAAGACGCTGAAGAAGAACAAGAAGGCCTTGGAGAAGGCTTCCGCAGAGACCAGCAAGGATGGCAAGAAGGGCAGCCCAGCCAGCAGTGGTGCGAAGATTCTTTTGGAGAAGATCCGGTAGAGTTGCCGGGAAGCCAATTCTACCAATACAGGATGCATGACATGTTCGTAATATCGGCCGGTTGACTGCAAAAGCATATCACTTGGGTGTTCTATTATTCTTTCTCTACTATTTCTTCTTTCTCTTTTCATACCGTGAGATATCTATTCTTCGTCTGTACAGGATCTGTGATAAATTTATTGGGATCAATGAAGCCAAAAAGTACTTGATACGATTTTCTTTCTGGTTCCGAATTGACTCGTCCCGAGGCAACGGCAGTCCATTAGCAGCATGCATTATAGGCGATGACTCCGTAGAATTGAGTATCTGTTAGCTGAGTGAGGCCGGAGAAAACCCCTGAGCGGAGCTAGAGAAGAACACGTAGGTAGGGAACCACAACAATATATTTTCACCTGCTAGATGGATGGTGACTCGACTTCCGGCGATAAGCATTTGCTCAGAGAGCTGGCTCAATTGTCAATTACTCATGGGATAGCAGTACAAAAGTGCAAGTAGCGTCAGAGTGTAAAGCAGGTCTAGTTATAGTTGACTACGCATTGAGTGATGCATCGAGAGAGCTGTTTCAGCTTTTCAGGGGTGGTTGCGGTAGATTCAAATATGGCGTGGTGACAGCCGAACGCAGGGACACTCTTTGCCGCTGAAAAGGGCTTAAGCTGCTTGGGGGAACCATGGAACCAGCAGGTGCAGATATCAACCTTGGCTGATCTTTAAATGACGATCTCCATCTCTCCTGCCATTGCGCTCACTTGGTTTGTTCTTTTGCGTCTGAGACTCTGAACTAGTTCTATTCCAACATCCATTCTGCTTTCGGCCAAAAAAGAGGACCATTCATTCCCATAACCTGACTGTTGTTGATTGCTGATCGGATGATTCGAGTCCCTCCCTCGATCCTGTCGCTACCCGCCGAATGCCAGAACGAGGGATGATTAGCAAACGGGGGCGTTTATGCATATCCCACCCACCCCTTGTATTCTTTCCCCAGATCGACTCTACTTCTCTTCATCTCAATCACATTTCTCTTGGTCTTTATCATCTACAGTTATACTTACACTTCTCCCCCTCCCTGACGATGCTGCTGTTTTCTCCCCATTGAAATAATATCCCCGTGGAAAGACTCCTTATCAGTCTTCCTTTAATCAATGGCCGAAGATCTCCAGGACGTGACGGCAACGGATCCCTGCCTGATTGGGGCTGGCCAGAAAAAAAAAAAGGGACACAAGTAGAAACCAACAATGCCCCCTCTCCGTCAGCATCGAGTAGTGTGCTGTGCTAATTAATTCCTTCCTTCGCCTCCATCGTCTTTCTTTCTTCTCCTTCTCATCTTCTTTCGCTCCTCTCTTCCCTCTCTTCGTTCGTTCGTTCCCTGTCGCGTCGCTGGTGCTCCCTTCTTACCTACTATGGCTAATACTAATTCTTAATATCTAATTATTTCTTTTTATTTTGCTTTTGCGATATAATATCCCCCGCGCTCATCTGATTCGCGGAGAAGCTTGCGCCTGCCTTGTCTCAGATCTCATCTGCGACTGCATCGTTCAATTCCCCTCCCCAGCAACAGCGTCTTTCGCAGGACGTACACTCCGATCCCTTCATTTCCCAACTCTATCTGCACCGCCCGGGCCGTCGACAGTGCAACCAAACCCGCACAACCCCCCCTTTCCCTGGTTGCAGATGGCTTGGGCCTGAGCGGAATAGTTCCTGTCGTGTACCAAAGTATTGATTGCCTCGATTGACCCGAACAGTCAACCAGGCAGGCATAAAGCATGATGGTCACCTCGTCCCCCGGGGAGGACGCTGGTCACCCTTCTCGTCAACATCTCCCGCCCATACCTCCGTCGCCGACGTTATCCAACCCCGACATGATCCTACCGTTTGACTCCAACGAGCGCGAATCTTCCACTCCGTCGCCTCCGTTCAACCTACCTTCACTATCCAACTTGCAGGCGTTCTACGCAAGGCGTCCCGCTCTCGATGACAATACGGACCAGACTCAGCAGGGGATCGCGCAACCGGGAGTTGCTCTGTCTTATGGCAATCGCCCCCAGAGCAAACTATACCCACGTCACACATGGCTGCAAGAGGGCTATGATGCTCGTCGCCTATCGGATATCGGAGAGGAGGACTCCTCGTCATCCTATGCGCACTTCCCTGGGTTCTCGGGTGCATCTCGCATCGTTTCGCAAACAGGACGGGCGGGAGGTTCCCCCGTTTCGCAACGCGAGACGGTCGACTTGGAGACTAGAGAGACGGGGACGTGGAGCGGCTCGTCTAGCTCGACAGCTAGTGCTGCTAGTGACTCGTCTTGGGACGGGACGAAAGGCCACCACGACGGTCGCGGCGCCAAGGACCACCACCACCAGCTGGAGGACAGTGGCGCAGATGCTCTCAATGGCAATGATAAAACCCCAAGCATAGTACAAAGTACGCAGGAGGATGGGTCGGGAGTGGAGCTGTCATCGGCCGTACTGAGTACCGAGGCGGAAAGGATTCTTGAGAACGCGAAGAAGCGCCTAACGGTATGTCCGAGGAAGAGAAGATTGTGGTTTAATTGTTGAAAGCAACCGCTAATAATTGCTGTAGCTTATGGAAGGGAACTTGAACCGGGCTCGCACGTCGGTGCGAGTATCTCCCTCGCTTCCGACTTCGCCAACGCCGCCTGTGGGGCAGTCGCTTCTGGGGCTGGGTCAACCCGTCGGCGGTCTGTATCAGTCGATTTCTCGCGCGGACCGTCGGGCCTCAAATCACCGTCCGCGCACAACATATACCTCATCCCAAGATGCGACGGGCAGCCGCCATTCGCGCGTCTACAGTGAGACCAAATTACCATCAGCGGCGCACTCAGGTCTTCCCACATCCGACACCAGTCTATCTCGGTCGCTGAGTGCCTTGGGCTCAACCAGTGCATCCAAGTATCGGAGTGACGAGCGGACTTTCCGTTATGACCCGACGCGGTCGTATCTGACCCACCGGGCTTCTATCTCGTCCATGCAGAGGCCATCAGCCCCCTCACCGACAATGGTGCAGGAGCGAGCCTCCTCCGAGTCACCAAAGGGCTTGGGCATATCCACTGAGGAGGAGACGGAGAACCTCATCTCGAGCACGGAGGGATCCAACGGAGCCTACCCCGCGCAGGATCCACCCTCTCGTTCCCAGTCGCAAATGCAAGTTCGCGACCTGCACAATCAGATGAAGGGCCTCCACATCAAAATTTCCAGTCTGAAGGTCAAAACCCAGGAGGATAATTTGCGCCGTCGTAGTATGCAGAGCCTGCGGACCCCGAGCCCCTTAAATGCCGCTGACCAATGGTACCCCAATGCTTTGGAACTGAGAGGCCGCCAAGGCAATCTTAGGTCTAGCGCTGGTCAGGGTCAGTCACCGGCTCACTCTGCAGAGAATCAGTTCAGCGACGAATCTGGCTCCGCTAGATACGAGCCTGACGTGAAGACTCGACAGGCCGAGACACCCAGACAAGCTGTAGAGCATTCATTCCCGGGGAAGACGCATCATCAAGAAGATGAGGCCTACGAATTCGATGATGCGCAATCAGTGAACGAGAGTCTTTATGAGGATGCGCAAGAGGGTGACTATGATGAGAGCGGCTTTTTGACATCTGATATCGATCAAGAGTCCGTGGTTGATAATTTGGATGATACATTGGAGGCTTTCCCTGCCGTACCACAGAGTTTCCAGGATAAACCTCATGAGGAGCGAGAGGATGCTTTTGACTACGAGCACTTCATTCTGCATAGTGCCTTAGGCAATTATAGTCAAGCTCGCATGCGCCGTGAGAGCAATGTATCGACCAGTTCGGTTGAAACCACGCGGCCAACCGACCACCGCTCCGTTCGTCACTCCCGGGCCAACAGTGCAACATCACTTTCCTCCGTTGCGACGTTTGAGACCGCCATTGAGGGCAATCACGATGAACTGCAGAGTGTTCTCTATTGGGATCGGAAGTTCAACGATGGTAGGTTTCTGTGCTTCAGTTACACTTCGGGCTTGTGCTAATTTCTGGTCTAGAATTGAAAGGTCGCCATACGACTGGCATCGACAGCTCGAAAGGAGCTGATTTGGAAACCGGAGGAAACCCTCACACTCTTCGCCGACAGCCCAGTCGACGAGTAAACAGCGCATTATCTCTCAAAGCCCCCACAGTCTCACCACGATCCGACATGGCAATGACAGGAGCCGCGACCCCAACGTCCCTTGCATCGTCTCTTGTGTCAACAGTGCGCGCAGCGTCCAGCGCTCATCCAAGTGCATCAGCCAATGGAAATATGGGACTGAATGACGATGACACGAAACTTTTGGAGCAGCTATTCCAAAGCTTAGGGGACGTTTGTACGGACCTTCAGACCATCACAACCTCTGCGCAGCCGGACCCGAAAGAGGTGCGGCTGTTGAGACGACGACTAGACGCCGCTCGGCGAGTGCTGGACGGAGAATTGGACACCTAAATATAGGTATAAAGGAGTAAAACAAATTAATTCTGGAATTTTTGTGGGGGCTCGGTGGATAGTGCTGTTGTTTTTTGCGTTTTGCTGTTAAAGCAATCCAGGTGAAAGCCTTGGATATGATACCCTGATATTCGATGTCGATTTTAGCCAGTGCATATTCTGTTCTTGTGTACTGTAGTTGTAGGGATTGGTTACTCAACGCAAACAGGTCGTAAGATAGGGTGACAAGTGTTGTATACCAAGTGCCGTTGACCCCACCCCCACCCGTGCACGTGCTTTCGTAATGCTTTGATCTCCGACGCGCCACGCGCAGCAGCCACATTCAACATTGAACCCTGAAAGTAAATAATCCCATTATGGCAATGAGGGCCACAGCCATTGTCATCATCACCCCTTTCGAGTTACTCTTCGAGTCCTTGACATCTACTGAGTGATCCTGGACTGAGCTGGACTCTGTGTGCTGGTTGGTTTCTAATCTCTCCCTAATTTCTGATGCGTCCTTTGCCCCGCATCTCGAATCAATCGCATAATTCCGTCTGACATTCAGCCACAGATACAACAATTCTCAGACCTAAGTGGAGCAACGCAGGTAGGCTTGACTCGACGAGGGACTACATTCCTTTTCTATACAAGGAGAAGAGGCGTTCAATTGCTCACGCGCATTGCTCTCTTCATCTCATCGAGCGCAATTGAAGCAAGCGCAAAGACGGAGAGTTTTTTTTTTTTTTTTTTTTCCTGTGTCGAGCTTGTGCAACG